CCAAATCGAGTCACTTTTTCTGACATCGTTAGCAACCGCTCTTTGGTAAATGTTTTAATTTGTTTATTCGTGCAAATCAGCATCATATGTTTAAACACATAGTACTTATAACACTTTACAGGACTTATTGTTTTGTATAATCCGACTCGATGGACGAATGTTTTGTGCAATCCGTCTCGAAGGACCAATGTTTGTGCAACTCGGCTCGTCCTACCAATATTTTTTTTAATCTGGTTGATACGACAATGTGATACCGAATTGTACTTTGATATTGCTCCAAGGACCTTTGTTTTCTTGCGTGCGAGATAATAGACAGCGTTCGGTTTCGATGTTTAATACAGGACGGTTACAGAAATACTAAATTTACATTTGTATTTACAATAACAGGTAAAGCAAAAGAGACCCAAAAGGGTCAGTGGCCGCTTCCGGAAATGGAACACTTGTCCTTTTTGGCTCAATTTTATCGGACTTGTCCGTTTTTTTGATTTTACCGGAATCGTTCGATCCAGTAAAACGTCAAACTTGACATAGTATAAAGTAAAATAAATAAATTTTATTCAATTTTGACATGTAAACAAACGTTTATTTTGCCGTCAGTAGGCCACTAAAGCTTTGGTTTATCCGGTAGCACCATAAAATTTTTAAACCGCTAGCGAAATAAAATTTTTATTTTGCTGTTTTAAAACCATGGTTACCATTTCTGTAATTTCTCCAATGCCTTGCTGCTCTTTCCATCTAAGGAACTTTTGATACACTTTCTGATTTGCTCTTTTTTGGGAGCAAGTTTTGCCGTTGGAATCTTGCATGATTTTGCAATTTTTCGATAATTTTAGTTTGTTTAAAATAAACAAACACCGTCGCCAGAGTCACATACTACACACACACACCTGATATTGTAACCTAAATTCTACGCATATAAAACTTTTATTTGGTCGCTGTCAATTCTGACGTTTCTCGAATGTGAACTTTGAATCACCAATTTTTTCACAATTTGGGACTTGGGGTTGTCAAAATTGAATAAAAGTTTGTATTACACTCGCGGTTAAAATGAATGTGTAACTCGTGGTCTTAAGGCGCTCGCGGCATACTCCGCTCTCGCCTTAAACTGGCCGCTCATTAAACATTCACTTTAACCGCTTGTATAATAAATAACTATTATGATGTAAATACAATTAAGTATATCGATAATTCGCTACTGAAAATTTATTGAAATATAATTTGTGTTAAAAAAAGATTTTTGTGGTTTTATGGTTTATTAACATAATTTACTTATTTGAAATTAAATATTTTTAATACATAGCACAAGTTCTTGATATTCTTTATTTTTATTCCAAGTAATAATTGTGTTTCCTTTAGTTTTAATCAAGAAAATTTTTCGGTTATTATCTAACATACTTTTGTACATTAAGAAACTCCATTCCACGTCGCAGGACGTTACAGGACAATATTTAAATAAATAAAGAAGTCGTTTTATGTGTTTTAAAATTCACTCTGATTTCCGGACTTTAGACTTTTTGGTGTTTCACTTCGGGACAAGAACTAGTCGTATCTCAAAGAAAACAAACAATGGAATATACCGTATTGTACCTATATTTCATAGTAAAAATGTCTAAATTTTTTTATGAAGAGACAGACTGTTCTAGGAAACTTTACTAAATCTTTTCATTTACGAGCTATTGAAAGTCCGCCGGTCTCACTGATACTTCTTACTTGGCTCCTACGAATGAAGCGAAAAATGCACAGATTGAAAATATAGTAAATGGGGTAGTATGTATGCGTGATATGTCGTTAGACATTAGGTATTTTGCAAATAAAATTTATTTCATTGAAAACAGAAACAATAAAAAACATATCTGTACAAGTTTGGAATCGATATGGCCAGTTGTTTAGAATATGCAAATATGCTTTTGTTCGTATTTACAATTATTACGAAACAGGTTATCAAATAATCTACTTTCACATGGCGAGACTTTGAAGCGGCCGAAGAATTAAAAACCATAAATTTTCATTGAAGAAACAAACTCTTCCAAGAAAATTACCAAATCTTTTAGTTTACGCACTATTGGACGAGCACTCCTTAAAACGGTCAGTATACCTAATCGCATTATTCCATTGATACCTACCTACCGAAAACGTTGCCAGATGAGCCTAACACAAATTTGCGGATATTTCTCGTCAACCAGATATTATTTCATTTAGAAGTTTCTGGTAAATAAATGGGATTATTGTAATGAACATATAAAACAAATAAATTGTGATTATTATTTGTTATTTTAACCCATTAGACGCTTATAGGCTTATAAGCATACTTTTCTTGAAAAATCGGTAATAAATTCAGTGAAACATCTTTGTGCCTTAATTCCTATTGGTAAACTGGGATTTTGAATAGAGGTCGCAGGAAAATTTTGTATGGTTTTATGGTTTATTTACATAATTTTCTTATTTACAATGAATGTTTTTGATATATAATACAAGTTCTTGATATTATTTATTTTAATTACATTTAATAAACCATAAAACCAAAAAAATCTTTTTTTAACACAAATTATATTTCAATAAATTTTCAGTAGCGAATTATTATCGATACAATTAATTGTATTTACATCATAAAATTTATTTATTTTACTTCATACTATGTCAAGTTTGACGTTTTACTGGATCGAACTATTCCGGTAAAATCAAAAAAACGGACAAGTCCGATAAAATTGAGCCAAAAACACGGAGGTAGAAGAGACACTCTTCTACCTCCGTGGCCAAAAAGGACAAGTCTTCCATTTCCGGAAGCGGCCACTGACCCTTTTGGGTCTCTTTTGCTTTACCTGTTATTGTAAATACAAATGTAAATTTAGTACTTCTGTAACCGTCCTGTATTAAACATCGAAACCGAACGCCGTCTATTATCTCGCACGCAAGAAAACAAAGGTCCTTGGAGCAATATCAAAGTACAATTCGGTATCACATTGTCGTATCAACCAGATTACAAAAAATACTGGTAGGACGAGCCGAGTTGCACAAACATTGGTCCTTCGAGACGGATTGCACAAAACATTCGTCCATCGAGTCGGATTATACAAAACAATAAGTCCTGTAAAGTGTTATAAGTACTATGTGTTTAAACATATGATGCTGATTTGCACGAATAAACAAATTAAAACATTTACCAAAGAGCGGTTGCTAACGATGTCAGAAAAAGTGACTTGATTTGGATTTTTTCTCAAAATAATAATAATATTATCGAATAAAAAAGTATGTTGACAGTATGAAATAAAATACATAACAACATACGTCCGGTAACTCTTTTCGCAGTACTCGTTTCGAAATTAAAGACTCGGCTACCTACTCGTCCTGAAACATATCACTCGTACTGTAAAATTTGAGCTACCGGACCGTATTTAGAATAACTTTAATTACCATTTATGTTTTCATCAACACTAACAAGTATTTAAAATAACAAGTAATAATTTGTTTGTATTGTTTATTCATTATAATAATTCCATTTATTCACCAGAAACTTTTAAACGAAATAAAATCTAATCGACTAGAAATAACGGCAAAGTTGTGCTAGGCTCATCTGGCAACGTTGCAAATTATATAAATGGTTACTATGAGATTTTTACACATTGTTTTCGTCGCCCTCTGTCGAGTGGTAGCTTTATTAAATGTATTGTTGCTGCGATTTGGGTTATCTACGCGCGCGATTGGTGTCCAAGCTTTTCGCCGGCGTTTGACGGCCGGCTGTTGGTGCGCCATCTCTTGTTCGCCGGCCGTTGGCCTGTTCGCTCCAAACAATAGCATGGGTCTATCTATATGTATTTAATCAATGGTTCAAGTGAACCGACGCTCTGGCCGCTTCAGTTACAGAACTCGGGGCATAAATCGTACAGTATTCAATGGAAAATGTTCGCAGAAAGCTTAAAAAATAAAAAATCATCTACAGATTTCCCATTTCAACATATTTTTGTAACTAAAAATGCATTGACAGCTCTTCTGTAATTATAAATTAAGTCAATCTGTTCTTAATATATATGCTGTGAGGCGCCGCCTCACTTGCCTCATATGACGAGCCGCCACTGTCGAATAGTCCAAAATATTAACAAGGTGTAGTTTTTCCTGATTCGACGTATTAGCCGAAACACGTCTCCCCCGATGGCTGTATACTGTTATGGATGGTCTTGTTAGTTACAGTAGCATAAATCGAGAATTTTATTTTTGTAACTTGCGTGGATGTAGTAATTTGATCGGAATTTGATTTTTTTATTTCTGGTTCTACAGGTATATTGAGAAAAATTACAAATATTTTCATCATTTTCGATGGGATGCCTTTTTCTGAGACGCTTCATTGGAACTGTTTATATATAAATTATTTGTTTTATTTTTTATAATTTTAAAGTAACGTTCATGTAATCATAATTGCTTCTTTAACACTGTTTCTGGTGGGAACTTTTTTATGGCTGCATTGTACGTGTTTTGTAAGAACATAATTATTTGCTAAAATATTTATTGTTACTATGTTACGCATATCATTTGGTGTCGCGCGAAAGCAAATATTTGCAGATGTATTGCATAGTATGTATTATTAGAATACTTTATACACTGCGCCTTTTCTAATTTGTCAACATGCTTTCTTATTTTACCGGATTTCAGAACAAACTTAGTTATTCTTCAAAAAAAAGTATATTTCACAGAAATACGAACAAATACAGTAAATATGATGACCACAATTACAAATATGTGTTTTGTATACTGGTTATGTTGCGCAGGTGGTGGTGTGAATCAGATGAGGGTTGGTGCTGAACTGTCTTTATTTTTCTCTTCAAGGTCGTTGGAAGGGTAGGGTGTGAAAACCCAAAAGTGGGACATAGTTAATAGATTTTTAAAATTAAATATTTTTTGCACAACTGAAAACTGTAAATAAACTTCTGTCATTATTATTGGTTCATATGTTTCTATTTTCATGTAAACAAGAGCATCTGACTAATAGTTAATTTTGTTTTTTTCAGAAAACGATAGTCCCATTGCTTCACCTTTGGCTGGCTCAGGTCCAGGTGGTCACAAACCATCTTTTAAAAGCACTAAACTTGCCAGACGTGCTCGTTCATTTAAGGACGATTTTTTGGGTAAAATATCTCAAATGCGCAGCCCTACAGGTCCGGGCTTACGATCCCATAGTCCTAAAGACCGACCGTCCAAATCTGATATAATCGGTCATGGATATCCAACGACAAAAGGGCCTATACAGGAATTGGATAATTTGTGGAAACAAACCCAAGCAACCTTGAAGCATTTTAAAGATGTTGTCTCTAAACAAAAATTAGAGATGTTACCGGGAAATGGCACTATAGTGCTTGATACCGTTTGGCAAATCAATTTGGCTGTTAAATCTTCAGTGTCATCGGATTACAGTAGTGCAATTTTTTCAGCTACAAATCACATGTATCAAAGTGTAGCTAGGTTAATCAAACTGTGTGATGATGCTTTAATAGATGACAAAAGCAGCGAATTGACGAAGGAAAATGTTAACGAAATTGTGGCACAAGTGGAGATTGCGGTACAAGATCTTATCAGATTAGCTCAAGAAAAGATATCTCATCAACAAATTATGTACAAAACAACACCAAGATCATCATGTGTGAACACCAGCTTAGAAATGCCAGCACAACGAAATTCTTTACCCGACATCCCATTGACACCGAGAGAACGAGAACTTTTAGAACAGAACTCCCATGGTCCACCTTTGGTAAGGAGTAGTCACAGTTCGGAATCAATATTGAGAGATTCAAGTCCCCCGCCTAAACCACCACTACCAGACGGGTAAGTGACATCGACTTTTATACCTACATATATATAATTTTATTGACATAAAAATATTTTTCATCATACAAACTTTGTCACCCCCTTTCATATTCTTAGGGGTGGAATCTCGAAAAAATCTGAAATACGTGTTTCATTATTTGTGTTGAAGAATATTAAATTAATACTAAGTTGCACGTAAAAATTTACAGTAGAAATATTTTTCCCATACAAACTTCGCCACCACTTTTCACCCTCAGGGGTTGAATCTCGGAAAATGTTTAAATCCGTGTTTCATTATTTGTGTTCAAAAGCACCAATACCACGTTTCACGTAAAAATTTAAATTTACAATAGAATATTTTCCCCATACAAACTTCAGCACCACTTTTCACCCCCTTAGGGGTTGAATCTCGGAAAAGACTTAAATATGTGTTTCATTATGCATTAATACTAAATACCACGTTAAAAATTTAAAATAGAAATATCTTTCCTATACAAACTTATCCAACACTTTTCACCCCCCTTAGAGTTTGAATCTCCGAAAATACTTAAATAAATGTTACATTATTTGTCTTGAAGAACATTAATACCAGATTTTAAGTTAACTTTACCATAAAAATATTTTTCCCATACGCACCCCTTTTCACCCCCTTAGGGGTTTAATCTCGAAAAATACTGAAATACGTATTTCATTATTTGTGTGAAGAGCATTAAATTTTTAGTAGAAATATTGGTCCTTACAAATTTTACTACCCCTTTTCACCCCCTTTCCAAATTTCAAATTTCTATCATTAGCTGTTTGATCTGGCCGTTGATAGGTCAGTCGGGACATTGCCTTTTATATATATGTATAGATTTTTTTAACCTAAATTTTTCACTTCCATACAATTTTTCAAACATTTTTTTTTCATACAAACCTTGTTCTGATAATTACAAACACAACAAAAAAAGAATCAGCCAAATAGATGCAGTCGTTGTGAAGTGATACGCGTACATATATTCAGCAAATGGTTTTTATTTATAGAGATTATTATACAGGGTGTCCCAGAAATAAGTGCCTTAATTTTAATCAGTTATAGAGCTCATCAAAATCAACAACTTTTTTTAATAGGGTTTTGTTAGGAACTTTTTAGATATCAAGTTAAAAATTGTTAAAGTTTTATCCCAATTAAGGATACCCGCCCATGTGCCCATGGATCCTCAGTTCCCCATAGTCATTATAATCAGTAAGTTATGGTCAAAAACAGTTACTGGGATACGTATTTTTCTAATATGCCAACATGACAAACATTTAAAGAGAAATTGAAAGTGCTGATTCCTAATAGCCTACGAATTTTCATCGGCCCTAATGTCGCTGTTAATTACACCTTCCCTGGTGAATCCGGCATCATCAGTTGATGGTATAAGAGATACAAAATTTGCTTGTTCGTTTATTTTTCTATTAACCCGCTCACAAAAGCTTTCCTTACGTGTTGTGTTGGTTTCAATAACTGAAATTTCTGGTCATTCTGTGAGTATCTTCCAAATACTACTCACCAATGCTCAGTACATCACAAGCATCGCGTGCTAGTGCCCGGTCGAGCTTCGACACTCTCCAAAACAGCCTCTTCAATATTAGCAATTCTATTAATATGTAACCTACCCCCATTATGAGCTGCAGGTTTAAAAGATCCGTATCTCGAAGATGCTGTACAACGTTCTTAAAAGTGCGCACATTTGGCAGACGACGATTTGGGAAACGTTCTGAAATAGTAATTTACGCAACTAGTTCGGGATAGCCTGCTTCCCGCATGAACGCTTGTTTGAGGCACGACCGAAGGGAGTGCCGCATTTGCGTGAATGCGGGAAGCAGGCTCACGAACGTGTTGTGTACAATATTTTTTGTGTGCGGGAAGTTCGACCTCCCGCACTCTGGTGAATGCGCGAAAGCTATCAAAAAAGGTCATGAGTACAAAAAAATTCTTTTTGCACTCATGGCCTTTTTTGATGATGTTTCTGTTTTTTGTTAAATTTAATTTAATTCTGCGTTTATGTCTTATTTTTTTTGCTAATTTGTACAACATATGTCAATAGTGACTGATTCTTTAATAAAATAACGATCACTAGTTAAATTAATAATTTTTAAAGTGGTTTTGCGAAATTTTTCAGGGTGGACGGTATTGTTTAACTGCGTTAAATATTAACTAGCGTATTTCATCAGTTCTCAGAATAATGAACATAAGAATTGTACTCAGCGTTGTCGCTAAAGCAACTTTACAAAATTCTTTTTTTGTTGTACAAAAATAATAATGTTTTATAAAAGTTGAAGTACAAGTTCTGAAATTGAGAATTATGGCATTTCGTTAAATAAATGTTTGATGCCATGTTGTTGCCGTAGTATCAAACTTTCCTGTATTTAAAACATCGTCTTGGAATCGTATTGGTGAATGTGAAATAAGTGTTAAACAATACTTTAAACATTTATTACGTTAATTTATTATAAAAAAATGTTTTTTGAAAATTTTAAGCGATTTTTATCAAAATTCTAACAGGTGTTTAATATTTTTTTTACAGTTATAAAATTATTATCCAGGGCAACTTTGAATGTGTATTTTGGGTTGCATTTCGAATTCAGACAGACTCATAACTCGTGGATCATCCTGTCTAATGTCCGTTCCATACATGTTTACCTTGTGTGAACATATTATGTATGAAATACATATATGCTTAGATATACGATAACAAAATACTAAGCAGTGTAATTATGGGAACACAAAATATCTTTACTCAAAAAAAATACATTTTTTTTTACATTATACTGTAGAGTCTGACAAATAAAATAAATATGTAGCTGTGTTTTATTTTCGTGCATATATTTTCATAACTTCTTAGCCAACGGAATTATTTTATGTGATTATGATGCCACTCCAGACCTGTCTACACTAAGAATATAAAAGTTGCTGCTGTTTGTCTCTTACATTTGATCTGACCAACTTTAAGTGCATCACAAAATACATACATATGCAAAGCTTTTTATAAAATTATTTTTATAAAAAGTACAAACATAATGACCTAGTAGTTTATTTTGACGTTTATAATAATTCTTTTGTTAATTTTGAAGTCGGAGAAGTTTCTGGTCTTTGCGAAAAGATGCGGGTTAGATACACTAACGATGAAAAGGTTGATACGGTCTTATTTTGTGGAGGATGCGGAAAAATGCTGTTGCAGCAGCAAATCTCTGCGCAAAAGGATATCCCGCTAGGCAACGACCAAGATGTTTAGAAAAAACTGTAAGACAAAATTGTCCGAAAGAAACAAGAGTATTTTTTAAATCTTTTAAAAACAACACGTTGAGTCATCGAAAGCTGCGTGGAGAAAATCGACCAGTGGCGTCGAGATTTTTGTTCTTGTAGGGGTCAATGAAGATTGTAAAAAAAAATATTCCAGTAATTATTTACTTCTCTCGCAAAAGGAACTATAGTTCTGAAAAGTACTGATTTACCAGCCGAAAATATAGAATAATAATGATAATAAAACACCGTACACGGACGAAATCGAAAACAGCAACGGCAGGCACACCACTATAAAACAGCTGACTGTGACAGCTGAAAGCACCACTCAAATTTGAAAGTTACTCACCCGACTCAGAATTGGTCGTCTGCGCAACTTTCTTGGTGTGCTGTTTTCAAAAGATTTCCGCCCTTACCAGGTGACAGTAGTTTAAGATCTGAAAGAAGATTTTCCCAGAAGAATCCAATTTTGTAATTTTATGCAACATAAGAAAAAAAAATGTATAACCCACATTGGATCAGAACAGCTGATTTTCAAAATGTTTATTCCGTAAACGTGTGGGCTGCTATTGGAGATTACGTAATTCGCCCATACTTTTTTGAAGGCAACTTAACAGGTTGCAGGTATCGACAATTTTTGGAAAATGATTTGCCGGGTTTATAAGAGACTGTTCCTCTCAACGGTCGACAAGAGCTGTGGTTTCAGCAGGACGGGACACCACGTCACTATCACAGAGTCGTTAAGGATTATTTTTTAGTGTGTGGCAAATGTAAAAATGGATTATGTAGAAGAGACAGCAAAAAATATAATGTTGAATCTATTGCCACCAAATTCAGAACATTATACCAAAAAACATACGAGGAATTTCTGAATTGATGTGAAGATAAGAACGTAAGTCACTACTGAAGACAGTGGCAAAATTTTTGAAATTACCTGAGCCAAATACCTATAAGAGCAACTGTTTGAGGTGTTCCTTCGCCACACTTTTAACAGCGGCATGGTGGTTTTACGTTGAGGATTCGCTTTCGAACAAAAATGAAGATTACAAAACAGTTTTAGTTGGAAATCTCCAGATCCCTTCAACAAGCAAGTGTGTTGCTAATTACAATAATTCATGCACCAATATAAGCTTGAAGAATGATGTTGTCAATGAAAAAGTTAATCCGTATGCTTTTTTGTTATAAATAATTGTAAGATAGATGTAAATACTCACATTAACAAATAAATATTTAACAATTGGGTGTATTTAACTAAAACTTCATCGAGCTAAATAAGCGCTTTCACGCCCTAGGGACAAAGAGGCACTTTGCGCGCGGAGATGAAGGCAAAAAAGAACATTTTATTCGATTGTACATAAATGTATTTTGTGTTACTTTGAAAGTTGGTCAGGATTCTGTTATTATTATAATACCCACCCTGTGATTTTAAATTTATTTTTAGATAAGATTTTTCAATTGAAGTCAATAAAGATATACAACCCACAACACACAATTTGCACTTGTTTATTGAATCCAATATAAATTTAAAACACACCGAAGGCTGGCTTTTTCAAATATTTTAATTTTTACATTTATGTGCATCAAATCCCGTCTGTTAAAAAAGGTCAAAAAAACATAATTTACAGTCCTTGGTGGTATCTTGTAATGTAAATCCGTAACCAAACTTGTTATTGAAACTGAAACATCGTTACAGATCTTCAGATACACACGTCGATGAAAGACTAAACAAAAATGTAATAAAAAAGTAATGGTTTACTTGACTTATTTCTTTGTTAGATCGAGAAAGGGTTAGCTAGGTTTGGCAATCGCTTTCTAAAAGAAAATTAGCAGTACATCTTTTATTTAATGCTTATAATTATATTCTATTTTTACATTATTTTTGTACCGAATCTTGTTACAGCGTGCTGTTTAATATAAGTCATTCAGAGCCGAGCAGCTGTATAACGCCACCTCCTTTACCCCCTAAAAAGAAAAATTATAAGTTGCATCGACCTTCCAAAGAATGTTGTAGTATCGACAACTCGCCAGTAACTTCTAGTCTTGAAAGGTAATTTTTACTTCATTAAAATCACCATTTTAATTAACTACTTACTAATAGGTAATGATATATGACAAATAATAATCTGATTTTACTTATTCTTCTTTTTACGGAGAATTAAAAGTTGCAGTTATCAAAAATGTATATTTTAAGCTCATGCATACTAAAATTAGAGTAATACTTTATGAACAAAATAAATTAAAACATGCTTTTATAGGGTTTCAGTGCGATCAAAATCACCTGAGGACTCCATTTCACTTTTATCTGCGAGTGCAGGTAGTTTAGATTCGATGTTGAATCATTCAAGAGGAGAAGAAGATGAAGAAATAAAAGTGATAATGGACACAACATACGATGGTGAAGGGGCTTTAGAAAATCATACGTCAGATATATTCGGTAAGTGTTGGAATAGTGGATGACGAATAGTTTTACAATTTTGTGTAGGGCATAACGGATCACACAGTTCTTGGGAAGAATCATCGTTGAGCTCCAACATATCAAGTCAAATCCCTGACCAGCAATACGACTACAACAGATTATCTAATACAGACTCAGGATTTATGTCTTCGCAGTCATACAGATCCTCTAGTTACTCAAAAAGGAGTTCGCAACAAAGTTCTGTTAGTTCTCAATGGGTTACACATCAACATATGGTAAAACAGGTATCAGCTGAAGTTAAAGCTGAAAATGTTGTACAGAATTTCGGGAAAGACAACGAAGGTTACTTGACCATAAGGAATTTTAATCAAAAAACAAGTAGTAGTAGCAGTAGTAGTTCTTTGGTGTCCACTGTAATGAATCTGGGGCACCAAATTACCACAAATGAACCTGATACGATTTTTGACGATTCGCTGCCACCAGCGATTCCACAGAAGACAAGAAGAAAACAGGAAAGACAACCTTCACCTTATGATAATGTACCTGATAGCAGTTTAGGTAAGTGAGAGCAATTCATTTCATTTTCTTTATATAAATATCACATTCATACATCTCAGTCAAACTCCATCTCATAAATAAATATTAACAGTGTGCTGTTATATAATTTTTCTCGTAGTCAAAAACGATCATGTTTACTGTCATTTAAAACGCCAATTTTTATTAGGAATGCGCTTATATTTCTTCAAAAAATTTTTATTATCTATACAAAAACATGGTTTGAAATTTTCAGCAAGCATAATAAATTACAAACAGTATACACTATGTACAATAAATAACAAACAATATATATAATACATCTTTAATAGAATATGCAAATATAATAATCCCTCTTATTTTTTTACTAAATGCGCTGGCGAGTCATTACGATTCCTTGTTCAAATATTTACAACATGATTATTTTCTATATAGGAGGAGAGCTTTTGGTCACTTGTGCGGAGCACCAGTCTCATCAAAGTCTTTCCAGCAGTACGAGTGTGTCGAGTACAACCGCCTTGGACAGCAATAAACCTCCACCTCTCCCACCCAAAAAAAAGCATAGTAAGTAAAATTTGAGTTTTATTTGAAATTTTGGTTATGGTTGACATTATAGAGTCTAGAGTTATTAATATTAGATTTTTTAATGCGATAAAATTTGTTCATAGTGTTCCAGTCTGTGGCTTACTCTGGTAAGTAAGCCGCTAGAAAAGAACATTTTGTTATTCTCAAAAATGTTTTAGAGGCTTGTTATTTTTTTTGTTTTTTTTTTCTGCAAACTAATTTTGTAGTTTATTGTGATTTGTGCTACAGCACTTATATAACTGTATCGTTTCGTATTAATTCATTTCGAGTGTTTGTGGTGTTTGTGTGGTGTGGAAATGTATATATATATATATTTTCTTAATTTATTGCTCAAACAATTTACATTGCAAATATTTTATGATTTTAATTTTTTAGAAGTTCCTATAAGTTCATTAATTTCTATTACGTTAAAAATTATTAAATTGTATACTTTATTTCTTAAAGAAAGTCCGCAATGATTATTGTAAAAAAATACGTTTATCCATTGTACCCCACTATATACAGGTGTCAGAAAATTTTTTGGATTTTGGTACTCAATTAAAAACAGTTTTAATAAATCCCTATAGAAAAATTCGAACATAAATTAAGAATTTTGTAGTAAAAGTGTTCTCTTAATAAGTTACGCACCAAATTTACATTTTTTTTTTTTTTTTTTAATGAAACACCTAATTGCACCTGTAACCAGCCTAGCAAGGTTGGGGCGTGAGTTGATCAGAAATAATATTTAGTTTAAAAATTAAAATCAAATTAAATGGGTAGCGTGAATTTTGTCTGATCTTCCTACCTGAGAAGTGCTAATCACACATCACAGAAGAATGGGAATTCTCTTACCTTTCGAAACTTCCCTTTTCACTGCTCAAGGGCACGGCCTCACTCACTAGTACAAATGGGGTCATTAATAATGACCGCCTCCCGCAGCCATGGTCCTAGCTATGGACTGCCGAAAATACCCCAACCCTTGGAGAAAGCATGTGGTTGTTGTTGCGCTTGTACACCAACCTTGCCTTTCTCGAACGGTTCGGGTACTTTCGGCAGTCCACAGCTAGGACCATGGACGCGGGAGGCGGTCATTATTAATGGTCTCATCTGTACCACAGTCCTTGAATCACTAATGTTATTTTATCTAACTCGAAATGGGTTGGCCGCAAAGTCCGCAAAAAGAAAGTCCAACTTACAGTTGAAAATCGGTGACCCATATTTATTTATACACACTAATTATTTAAAATTACAAAAAAAAAATGAAATGAAGAAATGGATCACTGCTCAGGGTGATGTCCACAAATTTGGAATTGGAAGTAAAGTCACTTGAGCACCAAAGTAAAAAAATAAAATCCCGACCAAAGAACTAACATAAATCGTCCAAAACTAAGCTTTTATTACTTCGTAAAAAGTGGAGACCCCACCCGGCATCAGGGGGGCTAACAAAGAAAAACCAATGGAATGCAATTGTTGAAATGAAGTGCTTTCTGGTTCTCTCTCGAACCATGCCAGCAAACCGCCCAAATCGCTGTTGCTTTACATGTATTTATTAAAAATTACTTCCCTAACAATACCATTTACAGTATAAAGCAAACCTATTGAACAGCCATTTGGAGTAGGCCACTGGCTCACGACTTGATTAGGATAGCCAGCCATGGATCTCAAAACCCCTTCTGTTGCTTGAAACGGTTTCGCCTAGGTGAAATCGCAAACTTCATTCCACCTGTGGTAGGCTAGATCTATGGCTATCATCCATCCGAATTTTCAATCTTTCCTTTTGTCAAAACATACTTACATATCTACAAAGCGAGGAAATCGCTCGTAGTAATCGTCGACCAGTGGTAGATTTTTTCGCAAATACTACTTGTATATAAACACATATTAAACAAGCGATTACATTTTCTACATATCCTTATAACAACGGACGAAAAATACCGCTACCGCATTGATTGTTAGTTAGGTGTTCGTTTGAACGACAAATTTTAGATTATACATTCATTAACAAATTAAAAGTTTTTCGATATAATAAATCAAAAAACATGGAAAACGGCCTATTATCTTTAGAAAAATTAAATTATTGTACAGAGAAAGTTTTATTTTTTCATTATTTGCAGAAACATTAACGTAATAGTGAATTTCATACACCGTTTCTTTTCTAGATAAAAAATACAGGGGCCTTCAGAACTAATAGAAAACCTCTGAGTTATATGTTATGTTCTTGTTTTGTTACAGTGAAAATAATAAGTATGCTAAAAACATGTTGGAATACCACAAATTGATTTTTATGAAAGCTCAGTTCTGTGACTCCACACTACTCTTGTCTTTACATTTACCAACAATATCGGCGTTTTCTGAAAAAATTGTGCTGCAGTAAAAATATTTTAATAACTGTACCACGATGCAGCAGTGTTCGTACAATTTAAATCTTTTAAAATTTCTACCAAACCGGAATTTTTCTCACTAAACGAAATTAAATAATCACGATATTGACGTGACATTTTAAAATTGTATATTACTTAACAAAAAGAAATAAATGTGTAAAAAAGCTCAGCATATTTTTTAAAATGCTTTAATTAATTAAAATATTAATATCTTTAGTTTTCTCAGTGTTGTTAAAATAGTAAAACTTCTAATGATTGCAACTTTAACTTAAAACCGAAAAAGGGCTGGATACAGTTAAGACGGGCGATTTCACGTGTCAGTTAACAATTAATATGTATCTACTTTTTTTTCATTTGTTTTGAATGATTCACTTGTATGAATTTTACAGTTACTACTTCACTCTACTGCGCTGCCTTCTTTTTTCATTGCTTTTTTATGCAGCAATTGACACATCTAAATAAGTTTTGATTGTGCCATTTTCTCATCACGTTCCGGAGGCGTCCCATGCAATTTAACAAGTGGAAGGATTCCCATAAAACAATAATGCAACACTACAAGCATATTTTTCCTTATCTATTTTCAACATTATATGGAATGCATTTTTTTTATAATTTTTTGCATGTTAACGTGTTTTGCTTAATTTAGTAAATAATTTTGAATTACAATATCAAAATTTACTCTTCCAGTAATGGCTTACATGGAGATGTTTGGCAACTGCTCTCATGCTAACGAACAGGAATTTATGAGACACTCAGTACACATGGTTCAAACGCATTGGGGTCAATCATCCACCTCTGGGTTACCAACAACGCAGTCCTGTTCATTTAATCATACTTCTCACAGTTCTAGTCGATCATCACATTCTCAAATTCAGATTTTAAACGTACCACATTCCACGATGGACCAAAGGTATAATGTTTACTCGCAACTTTCTTTATTGTAAATTAGATTTAATGTACAAACATTACACTATATATGTTATAAATACGTATTTATTAAACAAAAATTACCATATATATAGTTCTACAGGTGTTTATTATTATATCTGTGAAAAAAATCTACTAGAAAAAATATCCAGTTAAAGTATTGTTCTCATAATTGTTGTATTCATCTAATGCTTTTTAGTCCTTTAACCTTTTGTTCAGTACTTCCATCAGTTATAAATGTATTAACGCTGTCTTTCGTTATGTGTAGATTATCATCACCAATGCATTCTCCAAATACCGACATAATGGAATCAAATTCTCCTCCTCCAGCCTTGCCACCAAAACAAAGATCAAGGATCAGCTCAGTTAAAACATCTCCACCTGTCACACCAACAGCAGGAGAAATTAAATCACAGTCTTCTGTTTCTGCATTGCCAGATCTTCTAGAACATACTACAAATTCCAAATCTAATGATGACAAAAACGAAGTTAATGAAGTTAGTGTCTGTGATATAGATTTAATGGAAGAGCCCAATGTTGAAAAGTGGTTGGTCATGAAAAAGCCAGATGAGGAAGGACCAGATATCAGAGGGGGTCCAATAGACGCTTTGATTATCCAAGCTACGAAAGCTACCAAAAATGGTGGTAAGTTGACTATTTTTAAAGTTTATGCTTACAGCTTTATTAATTTGGTATCAAAATTTATGACATCTCGCAAGTTTGTCACTTATTACTCTATTAAAATGTGACAATGCCATAAAAGTTACTTAGTTTAAAGGACCACGATTGTAGCTCACTCAAGAACTATTGACAACATTGATGTTGTATGTTTGCTTTAAGAATATATAGTGACTATATAAAAAAATGCTTATAAAACCAAGAGTGGTTTGCTAAAAACGACTTGCTCCCAAGGAAACAATTTAAAGAGCAATTAAACCAATGTTTTTATAGCTATGTGGAACCGTTGACTACAGATAATAACTAATACACTGTTTAAAATATTGACAATGTTTAAGCGATTGGAGCTAAAAATTAGCAACCATGTTGAGCAAAGTATTTTTACTTGTGAAATTTTGAGTAACATCGAAGTGTATTCAAATGATTGAAATTTGTTTGATGTTCAACTACTTGTATGTTAAAACTAAATGTTGTCAGCTCGAGCTCTTGGTTGAGAATGATGTCGAACGTGATGTTTGTCATTTTCGTAAGCAAACCTCTACTTCTCAGGTGGGTGATGGTCGAGACCATCCCTGCTTAGTTGATACTCAACACGCTCGGAAAGTAAAAAGTTGAAAAGGGAAGGATTTAGTTCAAATACTTAGTTGTTGCAGCCGATTTATTGTATGATGTCTCTAAATACATTTCATTTTGTGAAGTTAAAGCAAAAAAACTTTCTCAAAAACTTGTCATGATTGATTGATTAATCAACCGCTAGTATGTTATATCACAAGTAGTTAAAAATCAACATTTGAAGCACATTCATTGAAGCTTTTGAGTAAAATTTGCAAGTTACATAATTATTAAAATGAAAGTAGGATTGCAATAAGTAAGATTTACCTTTACGCTAGATAAACAGATTTCACATCTCTAAATGAAATAGATGCATTTTTAACTAGAAATTCATGTGTATTAGAAAATTTTTAAATTTTAATTTTGGATCATTCATCTTACGCAATTTGTTTTTGCTTCAAATTGCAGAAGAAAAGGAAAATGGTATGTAAAACATTAAACTCTCTAATAGAAGCAACTTTTCTTCACTTTTTCTCTGTTACACTCTACACTGTTAAGCATATGTGATTCTATTGCCAAGTGTTTTTACAAATTATGTAAATATATTTTTCAGTTTATGATGATATACTGCATTTTAAAAGCTAAATTTTTTGTGTTAAGGTGGTTTGGTAGTGCATGCAAATAGTATTTAAAAGGGTGCAATTACTTATTACTATAGAGCGGCAGGAGAATTCGTTGTATCTGGCGCTATGCAATAACAGTCTGTTATTTTGTCACTCTTCCTCACTTGCACAGTTTCTAACAACGATGACGCTTAGCAGAGAAGTAACACAGTACTACGACTCATTGATTAAATACATCGGCGTTTGACGGCCGAATGTTGGTGCGCCATCTCTTGTTCGCCGGCCTTTGGCCTGTTCGCTCCAAACAATATCATGGGTCTATCTACATATATGTATTTAATCAATGTACGACTTAACCTACTCCCCCAATCTGTTTCGGTAGTAGTTCCAGTAATCAGATTCATCTAGGAAACAGATACTAGTGTTATATTGTATGAAACCATAAACTTTAAAAAAGGTGTTAAATACAAATATGTTGATTGTACTTATAGGTACTTTGCATTTATTGGTATTTTGATTTAAGACTTTACCTACAGTAACAATCTTTTTAAGTATAACAGGTAATGACTGTTTACTTATTTGTGTGTTCTGCAAATTACAATGTGTGTAAGAAGTGTTTTTTCATTCTTTCATTTCCTTGTGAATAACAAGACGGTGAAAAAACACCTTTTTATCCAACTCAACATAAAGACATAAAAAAAAAATATAAAGCAAAATATTAAAAAAAAAAATCGTCGCAAATTTTTTTTTAAATTATCTGAATTTTCATTTTACTATAAAATTGAGAAAAAAATACACTGCAAAGTTCGATATTTTGATACGTTTTATTTGCTTTTGTAAAATGGTACATATTTCTTTAAAGCATTTTCTGCGCTTCGTTTTTGCGTAAGTAATGAAGCATGCATTTTTGAGACGCATGAAATTATTTCATTTACTCGGGTATTATGCTTCTTTGAACAATCCGATCCAACATTACCAAATTTTACATCAAGTTGTACTAGCGAACAACGTTGCTCAGAATTTTTTTTTTTTTTTTGATATGCAATAATTTAAAGTATTAAATAGTGAAGCTAAAGATGCATTTTTTTAAATTTGAAATGGTATTTTTTGCTTTTTTCCGCGGGCTATTCTCCATTTGCAAATTTAATATCATTACTTTTGGCTAATAAATAGAAAAGTTATTTGAGGTTTCCTCTTTTAGCTGATACACCCTGTATATATATATGAGAAAATAAATATGCCGGTAGCTTTTTCTTTGACACAACCAACATTTTTTTATTTTATTTTTTCTAAAAACAACAGTCTAAATTACGAGTATATTGAAATATTTTCAAAAGTAGATCATAGAGATGCCATAAAAATTTCAAAATGGCCTATCAACCAATAACTGTACTAATTGAATTCATGTTATTTGAATTGAGACATACCGTATACATAGATGGTTATCATGTATTTTGGAACGTACATCAAAAGATTTTTTTATTACATATATTCTTATATGCAACTGAATCAGAACGAAAAATAAAATTATGTGTAGTCTTGATGTCAAATATACCATATTGATGTTATACATACATTATAAACATTTAAAATTTTCAAAAGTACATTAAAACATTGTGTCTAGTAAATTTTGAACATACATTTTTAATCATGATATGTGGTTGTGCTCCTAGTGTAAAGATATTTGGGACATGGCGTTCAACTTAACGCCAACTGTTTTGCAACATAAGAATTATTTGAGCAGTGCTGCAAATAGTGACCAGTACTATTAGTTTTGATGCCAGTACCTGCAAAAATAAATCCGATAAAATATCTTGTTATAGATATATTTAAAAATATATGTTGGATTGTACTAATTTATTTATTGTTATTATATATTCTGACACTTCTTCAATTGTCGTTTGTGAATTTGATAATTGTTTAGGTTTGCGCGTACCCCTTCTATGAATTTTTGGATTCATAACTCCAAAATTTCTAAATATCATAAATTTTATCTGTAACATTTTAAAACTATCAAATCACCTTAATGAAACTACAAATAAGTAGTAAAGTTTAGTATTCCCTAAAAACTAAGAACATACATATTTTTTAAGTTCTATTTACGTTGGTAAATCGAGATTGAATGCACATACTCTATGACCTTTATTTTTACAACATTATAACTTTGATTAAGATATTTATGCTTCAAAATATTTTGGGTGATTGGTTCACTTATCTAAGGCTATATGTCTTGTTTTCTTAAATGGGAACTGTAATTAATGACCGCTTCATTTCTTACTGTTTTTCACTTTACTGAGGTCATATAACCTTAGAAGGTTTAGATTATTATTGCATTACATTTTTAAACTATCTAAATGTTTTTGTATATTAAGGAATAACGAATGTTTTGCCTAAAAAAAAGTATGTTTTCAGTTTTCATGTACCAAGAAGCATTTCTGACAACTTATCGCACGTTTATCACTCCTTTGGATCTGATCACCAAACTTATAAGAAGATACGAACACTTTTCATATCAACCTAACAAAAAATTACGATCGGAAGCTTTTGCACTGATTGTTCGAGTCGTCAATGATCTAACGTAAGTGTAACAAGTCTTCTTAATTTTCTGATATATGTATATATGTGAATGTCTGCAGTGTTTCAGATCTAGACGACGAGTTGCAATGTAAACTGATGAATTTTGTGCAACAATTGATTTCTTCTGGTGAAATAACTTTGGCAAAAGCGCTTCGAGTTAAACACTTAGAACGATATGAAGCAAAACAGCTCAGTTTAAAATATACTAGTGTTGTAACTAGTTTGTCCCTTAGTGCTAGATCATCAACTCTATTAGATTTTAAGTCGGAACAAATTGCTGAACAAATGACTTTGCTTGATGCAGAATTATTTATGAAAATTGAAATTCCAGAAGTTTTAATATGGGCACAAGAGCAAAACGAAGAAAGAAGTCCCAACTTGACAAGGTTTACTGAACATTTCAATAAAATGTCTTATTGGGCGCGGACTAGAATTTTAACAGTTGATGGAAAAGATGTCCGAGAGAGATACTTTCTTAAATTCATAAAAATCATGAAACATCTAAGAAAAATTAATAATTTCAATTCATATTTGGCGTTATTATCGGCGTTAGATTCTGCACCCATTAGGAGATTGGAATGGCAAAAACATGTACAAGAGGGCCTAAAAGAATATTGTGCGCTGATTGATAGTTCATCGAGTTTTAGAGCGTATAGGCAAGCGTTGGCAGAAACACAACCTCCTTGTATCCCGTACATGTAAGAAACGTACTACTGTTTGTTTAATAAATTTTTTACTATTAAATTTTAGTGGGTTGGTTTTGCAAGATTTGACATTCGTTCATATCGGAAACAGTAATCTTCTAAGTGATGGTACAATAAATTTTTCCAAAAGATGGCAACAATTTAATATCGTTGAAAATATGAAAAAATTCAAAAAGGGGTGAGTATTTAAAAAAATCACGTACTAAAGTTGTACTGTTCTTGAGTAGCCTATTCTAAAATTATTTGCAGAATGTTCAATTTTTGAAGTATAATATACAACTTAGTTATTTTAAATGAAACAACCTATATATGTTTACATAGTCTGATTGGCTTCTTCCTAAGCGTTATAAAACCACCTGTTACTTTTGCTTAAAATTTAGCAATTGGTAGCAGCTTCGGTTGATTGAGAACGGCAATAAGAATATTGTCGGAATATGAACGTTGCCAAATTTACGATCAACAAGTGGTTTTTCTATTTGTAGCAGTGGCGGCTCGTCATATGAGGCAAGTGAGGCGGCGCCTCACAGCATATATCTTAAGAACAGATTGACTTAATTTATAATTAAAAAAGAGCTTTCAATGCATTTTTAGTTACAAAAATATGTTGAATTGGTAAATCTGTAGATTATTTTTTATTTTTTACACTTTCTGCGGACATTTTCCGTTGAATACTGTACGATTTATGCCCCGAATTCTTTAACTGAAGCAGCCAGAGCGTCGGTTCACTAGAGCCAATGAAGCCCAATCACAGACACGGATTTCCATGACTCAGCTGCTATACTCCTATACATGAATTCGCTCGGAACTGAGGCGATATCTTCGACGCTTCTCGGCCAATTTCGGCGGACCCATTAAACCATTTTCCAATTTATTTTACAGAATGGAAGGGGTGCAGTGTGCGTGGGTAATTAGCATAAACGTGAATAAAAGTCCAGGAGTTGGTGTTTCGTGTTTTTGTTTCTTTCATAGGTACAGGGTACAGGTGAGTGAAAAATGAATCCCGAGTACGATATTGTCATGTTGCTTCTTGAAACGCCGTTTTCACGACGAACCGAGTTAGAACGTAGGTAAATTTTGCTAAATATCGAACAGTCAAAACCGTTAACTTCCATTGATAAGCGACAATGTCATCAGTACTCCAGGTCTTTTAAACCAGCCTGGTACGAAACATAAACGGCTCTGCCGTAGCCGTAATATTTATGCTGAAAGTCTATATTGTTGGCCGTGTCTACTCTTAGGCAATGTAAAAAACACATGGACGACGTCTCCGGGATATAACGATTTAAAGAATTTCATTCGAAGTGCAAAGTTACATAAAAGTTCCAAAGTACACATTAAAAATTTCATGGGCTTAAAAGATTTAGAAAGGAACACAACTATTGCCGAATCCCTCCAAGAAAGTGCTAGTTTAAACAAAATTTTGACTTGTAAAAACATTGTTGATTAAATGTGTTATGGGTGTTAATATTATTATTATTATTACTATTATTAGGACCCACTACTGACTGGGAAATGAACGGTATTCAGGCAAGACTTCTATCATTACTAACTACTAAGACCAAGTAATATGCATTAATCACATTAATTTAATTAATTTTATTATTGATAATATTATTGTCAAACTTCTATCATCGCCTCACCACATCAGACAGTCACGAGCCGCCACTGATTTGTAGATATTCTCGCCTACACAAAATATTGTTACGTCGTTCGGTAATTAAAATCGGCATGGGTAAAACTCAACAATTTATTTCTCAGTAACACAAAGTTACACTAATTACACAGCGATTAATGTTCAGAATAATTCCGACTAGTCTGGTGACAATTTTCGGCAATGACCTTTCCTTCTTCGGGGGAAAAAAAGCCATAACAAATCTCCTGTCTGGAAACCTATTGAGTTACTCTTAAGCTCGTGGCGTGTTTTCATTCTATCTTGCCGTCCGAATCTTATGGCGCATCATTTCGTGAACGCTCAACAGCTTCTTCGTCAAGTCATCGTCATAATTTGTGACCTTCTTTGGTCCTTCACTTGGAGAGCCGAACAGTATGTCACAAGGTAGACGAAGCTCCCGCGAAAACTATGCACGCCGGTGTCTGACCCGTTGTGTCATGGACAGCTGACCGATAAGCTTTCAGGAACAGTGGAAAGTGTATACCCGAACTTTCTGATGTTCAGGCACCACCTTCAAAAAATGTTCTAACATGGTGTGATTGAACCGTTCTACCGTTCCATCCGACTGCGGATGCAATGGCGTAGTCCATCTCTTCCGCATCCCTAGTAGTTCAGTAATCTTTTAGAATAGGTTTGACTCGTAGCTTCTGCCTTGGTTTGCATGCTTTTCGATTGGTACTCCAAACCTCTTGATCCAATTGTCAGTCAGCATCATTGCAACCGTAGTGGCTTCTTGGTTCTGTATGGCATAAGCTTCGGGCCATTTTGCTGAAATAATCGTTGATGATCATTATGTACTTATTCCCGTACTCGGTCACCGGGAAAGGACCTGCTGTGTCCACTGCAATTCTTTCGAAAGGTGACCCGACGTTATATTGGTGCATGAGCCATCTCGCCTTAGTCGTTGATCCTTTGACCGCTGCACAAGTCGTACATTTCTTGCACCAATTCTCGACGTCTTCTCGACAACGGACCCAGTAAAATCTCCCTAACTTTAGAAAGCGTCTTGTTGATTTCAAAATGAGCACCAGCGCTCCCGTTGTGCATTTCTCGAAGTACTTCCTTGATTCTGATGGCCGGAACCACCAACTGCATGGTGGTATGTTTCTCATTCGGACTTTCCCAAGCTTGCTTAAACAATCCATTCTCGACACGTAGGGACTCGCACTGACCTCATAACTCTTTGAAAGAGAGTGATTGGTCTGATATTTCCGACCAACCTGGCCATTACCCCATCTTTTTTCCATTTGAGCAGCGGTTCGATATTCAGTTTTCGTTCTTGATCTTTTCTAAGCTGAGTCGTTGTTCATTCTTCATCTTCTGTGATTGTTGTCCTTTCGCAGCTGAACAACGCTTCGCGCTGATTAATCTTGTCGCATTGTTGTGAAGCTTACCAACCGTGAAGGTAGAATGAGAGGAGGGAAGATAATTTGAAAAAGTGGCTGGTACTGCGCTTTTGGTGGGGGTTATAAATAGCTTTTCTAGCTCCTCCGAGAAACTGGTTGTTCCAGTGGCGTGCTCGAAAGCATTTGTCGAGGGGCTGAACATAGATACAAAAATTAATCAGTAACAAGTTAATGGCATTGATTATATATTATGTATTTAATCAATGTTAATGATAAGGGTCATGAATGAGTAGTGGTAAAATTATTTTACTATTTGCTGCCTGTGGACCCATTAGTAACCAAAATGCACCGCCTCTGATCCTCTGTTGATAACCGACAACTACCGATGTAGTACGGAAAGGGTCATAAATGGCTCTTGCGTGGAGCTCTTTTGCCGACGTTCCTTTAACATGGGTTAAATTAGGTATACTCCCTCCTGTCATCCTACCTCCATGTTACCAGCCCTGTATTGGATCTTAAAGTGAAACTGTTGAAGCCGTTCAAGCCATCTAGCCACTTGTCCTTCGGGATTCTTGCGTTCCTAATGTTCAACAGCTCTGACGATCGCGAACAACTCTTTCCGTGTAGCACAGTAATTCTTCTCGGGTTTCGATAGTACGCTGCTGAAGTACTCGATGACTTTTTCTTCCTTGTCCTGCACCTGTAACAATGCGGCACCTATTCCAAGGTTACTCGCGTCCAATGATTGCGAATAGGACAGAATAGGACTAGAACATACTGCATTCTTCAATCTTCAAATTTGTCTCCTTCATTCGGCTAAATACTTCTTCTAGATTGGTTAAGTGATCCTCAAATGTTTTCCCCATTATCATGATGTCATCTAAATAAACCATGTCTTCTATGTTAGCCCTCCTAATACCATCTCCTTAGCCTCTCAAAAGTAGCATTATATAGTCCAAAAGACATTACAGTAAATTGATACGAGCCGCTCCCGGCAGAAAAAGCGGTATTTTGCTTGTCTTCTGAATGAATACCAAGTTATCAGTAGTCGCTCTTGAGGTTCAACGTAGAGAACCAGGCGGATCCCGATAATGTGAGCGTGTCATCAATTCGTGGAAGCTGGTAACTGTCCATAATTACATAGTTTACTTTCCTGTAGCCTAAGCAGGATCTCGTCGACCCATCTTTTTTGGTGATTAGCCCTGCAGGCGAAGATCTTGGACTGTTTGATTCCTCTATAACACCTACATCCAACATTTTCCGTACCAGTTCCCCGGTTTCTTGTTTTGCCAAAAGTAACCTTGCGCCGTACGTACTAGAAAGTCCTTTAAGCGTCGTACCGAGGCGGTGTATGGATTATTTCGTAACACTATATACTTATATAGTATGTAACTTTACAATACAAGTTATTTCCATTTGATGCTGTTAATAACTAACCATAGACATTGCAGTTTAATGTTTGAATATATTAAAATAAAATTTGTGTTATTTGCAGCACTCATTCGTTCAAGAGACATGAGCGCATAATTCAATTTTTTCAAAACTTTGATGATTTCATTGGAGAAGATGCAATGTGGCAACTATCTGAGACTATAAAACCCCGTGGAGGCAAGAAACCTACTTAGTAAGTAAGATGCTATGATGGGATAATAGCAATACTTCACAGCTATATCGCAATTTGAAAATCTACATATGTATATATATACCGGCTGTCCCAGTTTTTTTTTGTGGTAATTTCATCATTCATACATGATAGAGTAAATAAATGATTTTTTTTTTTTTGGTGCAACATTGCCTGTTTTTTTACATATTTTGAAATTCAACAATACATATATAAAAATAAAAATCATTATATGCTGCAATAAGTAAAATCATCTAACTTAAGGAGAGTATTTAATGCACCAAAAATACAAGAAATATCACCGCTAAATTAAATATTTAATGAGGTTCACATAACGAATATATACAACAATCAAACTGGGACAGCAGAGCGTGTATTTTAAATAATACATTTATTTTATACATTGTGTGTACATCTAAAATATCAGTATTTTACGAAATACTATTTTTGCGGAAATTTTTTGTCCTTTCTTGGAGATTGAACCGTTGTGTGACTGCCACTGTCATACGATGTTAACATCTCAAAAACAGTAGGATTTAAACATTTCTCATTTGAGATTTCATTCAAACAAGGAATATTTATGCAACGAATTTTCTTTAATCTTTCTATTTTTATTTTTTCTATACATTAACGGTAAACTATTTTGTAAACATCAATGTGCCACAATTTTTGTTTGTGTCACATGATCTGAAAACTCCATAAATAATTTTTTAAAATACGTTTATCATTTCAAATCAAGGACGTTGTACGTCATTGTTTCAAATCCATTCCTTGTATTTTCAGTATTTTAAATTTACATTAAATTGGATTGTAAATAATAAAATTTAGATTTTAATGCAAAAGGTCCTTGTTTTTTATTTGTGACTTTTATACACCTACGAATGTTGCTGCAAATGTTACATCGGTTACTTAATTGAATGACATTAATAATTAATTGAGTGATCTAATTTTGTCTTCTTCTTCACATACTGACAGTACTGATAAAATTTAGAAAACTCCTATAATGCAAACCATATGAGTTTAATACAAGAACGTTGTATTAAGAGGACGGACGATGCCCTACCGTTCAAGTGTTGAGAAAGTGACTAACAATTCTTTCAGTCCACAATTACCGTTAACAATCTATTTTTAAACAGCCCGCCCACTAAAACTAAAAGTTGATACAGTGCGCGGTGTAAAAGCAGTGAAGTCGCACAGGTTTCCATCTTTCGAAGTAGCACAGGGATGTGATAATTCATTTTTCTCCAGTAAGGTATCACAGCAAGTGCCAAGTCATTTTCTTTTATTTCGCTTTAATGGCTTGTATAACTCATGTTTTACGTTACTACAGACTGTATTATAACTTCATAAAAAATTAATACGCATTAAAACATTGATTTGTTAAAATATAAATGAAAACATACTAGATTTGGTATAAAATTATAATGGTTACTAGACTAGGGGATTCAGTTGGTTTTGTCGGGTGCAAGCTTATTCTTGCAAAAAATTCAATATATCGTTTATTCGTTGAACTATTCAAAAACTTAAATTATGTATATGTCTGTTTTGCAACATGTCTTGCCTATTTTTAGAAGGTGTTATTTTATATATTAAACAATGATATGACGTTACTTTTGCAAAACTACAAAGAAAAAATTAAGCTCTTATTTTGTGGTATAGGGGTGTTTTCATTTTTGTCATTACTTCACACAGATTTTATGAATTTTATTCATCTGTGTCACTGTGTAGGTATAATGAATAGACAGCGGATTTCTGTCGGGTTACGTCACGATAATAGGTGGGGACGCGCTGGATCGCCAGGACTCAGTAGCGGGTGATAGATAATAATCACTGAATTTAATTATCACTTATTCCATAAATTCAATTAACGATTTATTAATCAAACGGCTAAGTGAATGAGAACTGGAATTAACAGCAGAGTGCAACGAAGCAGCGTTATTCTAATCTCAAATAAACGAAGTGCAGCCCGTGACTGCAATGAATTCCCATCCCGTACGAGCCGTACCGAGTTTGGCTTTGCCTAGCCCGACAGAAATCCGCTCTCTAATAATGAATCACATGAAATGATTTGTAAATTTTTTAAATGTGATTTGTAATTAAAAATATAGTATTAATTGAAAAAAATTACACTGATTTAAGCGATCGTACTCTTTTCTTTAGTCTCAATTTATTGTAGAGTCGTTCAAAAAGTAACGGGTGTGACTTCATCTGTTACAAACCAGTTGTAGTATTTATGGAGAGTTCATAAATTAACTACTAGTATTTTTCAATGTAAGACTGAATTTTTGTATTATATACTTATTTCCTAAAAAAATAATAAGATTACGAGGTTATACTTTCTGTTCTTACAATACTTACTTATTACGATCAACTTTACTGACGTACTAACAATTTCGTTTATATTCAACGACGTTAAGACACTGTTGTAGCACTTCAAGCTGTATGTTAGATAAATTTACATAATATAATAGTTATATGTGTAATACGAGCATAATTGTTAGAAAAAAAGTTAACTATTAGAAGGCCTAACTAAATTTAAGCAAATACATTATGAACGGCTGAGTAGACTGCTCTACAAAACCCAAGTAAATCACCCTAAAAGGATTAATCAGTATAATAAAAAGGAATTTTAGTTGCAGTATTTTTTAAATCTATATTATACAGATGTGTTTTAAATTTGCGAAAGTGTCGAAGGGTATTTTTCGAAGTAATAGCTCCTATTAGCTCAATTATATAAGAGAAAAATTCATTCTGATGTTTTTCAAATTATTTCTACAGAAATGTGCTTTTATAACTTAGATCATAGAATAGAAAATGTTGGTACATATCATCGTTATTAAAGTCTAATGATGGGCTGCTTCACTTGTACAGATAACTGAGTTAGTTACAAACAATAAACGTGCATTGCGACATTTTAAAGCGTTTTTTTGCACATTTCTGTACCCACTGTGATGTTGAATTTTTCATGTTTGTGTGTATGCTTTTAATTTTTACAGGAATTTTTATTTATATTGTTTAGGATGGCCATAATTGTCTATACTTAAAACGTGTGCCATTATATTTGTTCGTAAAATTTGTTTTCATGATATTAAAATTAAGAAAATCAATTGATTTTAGAATGTGTTTGTGTTATTATTCTATATCAGTTGTGTGATGTAAATACATTGTGTAAATCTATTTATATATGTATAGTTTTCATTTTCAATTTTGGGTGACATGTTTTGTGTCCTTGCTTTTAAATTATATATGTTAGTGTGATATTGTACTGTTAAGTACGCAAATAAATATGTCTGACCAAGAAAGTATTTAAATATTTCATATTTTCACCTCAAACATTTAAATTCGATGTATTTTATTGTCTACCTTGTGCGAACTTGGAGAAACAAAATAGTATCCATTGAAAATCAAAAATCTTACCCGGCTTATTTTCTAATTTTTAACACTTGGTAAAGGATAAAATATCTACAGCGAATTGAGAAGCCTGTTCTTCTAAAATACTGAAAGCATCAAGCACTTTACTGAGGTGAGTATTTTCAAACATTTGGTAACAATCATGATAGTGTTACTGCTTACATCAATTTTATAAACACACTAAGTAGATGTTACAAAAATTAGCCTTTTATTATTGGTGTATTTTCTTCACATTCGTGTAAATAGTTAAACCCAACTTATAAGTTTTGCCCCAGAAAATAAAAGAAAAGCAATATGAGGTGATAGCAACGAAACTCTAATATAAGTTATATATTATAATTATATAATTTAAAAAAATTAAAAATGAAATTTGGAGATAATTTAAGGTTACTGTGAACGTGGTAAATCGCTCATCAGAAATTATTTGTTCATTATTGCAGTCATTTTGATTTGAAATTAATATTCAAAATAGCATGTTTCTTTATATGTACAGTCGCGGACAGTGAATTTCGTCCACACAATTCACGCGAATTCACAAAAATTCACTGTAGTCGGTGCTTTATTGTCATGATGACTGACGTAAGTATTGTCAAATTTAATTTAGCTTCGAACCTGCCATCGATTAGTTATTTTAATAAAGGTAAACTAATATCCCTTTTCCAAGACGGGATGTCGCTACACTTTTGGGCTTACCGCGGACTAGTGTTAGTTATCGTATAAAAAAATGTTTGCCCCTTTATGTCAAAATGACAAAAAAAGGTTAGAAAGATCTAAGGGCTAATTTAGACTTTTTTCTATCAAAGAAATTGGGTGGACGAAATTGACTGTCCACGACCGTACTACCTTTATACATGTGTCTCAAAACATTAATTATTCATTTTACTGATTATATAAAGAACGGCTTATATCGAGAAACTAAATTTAAGAAAAGTGTTATTTTGTTCCAATGTCGGAAAAATATTACCACCAACGAATAACAAGAAATTATTTATTTTGCACTTTACCTCTGTTTCTCCTAATACTGATATTTTGTGAACGCAACAGCTAATCAGACTTATTATTGTTCTAAATGGAGCGATTTTTGTATTTAGCGCTTGGGCTATATGATTTGGTAAAACCTTGCATTGTGCGTCTGTGTCAAATTTTACTTTAAACGTAATTTTACCTAAGTAAAATGCAGTCCATGCATCTTCATCGGTTTGTGTTTTGCTTCACTGATTTTGTGGTGACCTTGCCAGCTCTTTTCTGTAATTGTTTGTTTCAACATATAGCGTCCGAGTTTTTGGCGGTAGCCGTCACAAAATTGTCCCTTAGATCCCAGACTTGTGAAGGGCCGCTTCGGGAGGTGAGAAGGCTAAAGTGGGATTAACCTAGCCATTCGTAATGGATAGAGTTTCCGGTGTTAGGGACGCATACCTTAAGAGTAGAAGCGCGTAGAAGAGGTAGAAACGTGGGCAGTGCCCTAGAGGACACTGTCGAAGTTTGTATAAATGAATAAAGACCAGCGAACAGTAAGATAAATGTATTGCTAGTGACAAGTGTTAGGATAAATAAGAATGATAAGAATAGAATAGTATATGACCGTGCGGTCGAAATAGTTGAATGTTAGTTACGAATTGAGAGTTGTGAATTGAATGTGTATGAATGAGTTAAGAATTAAGAATGAATGCTACCCTGTGTTCCAAGGTGGGGGTGGCTCTGGCTCCCACCCTTACGGGTGGGGAGGGGTGAAACAGGTCCCCGCCAGAGGCTCTAACATAACCCCCCGCCTTGAAACAATTACATTGTTTTAAGACCAAAAATAAACTATATGGATAAACTATATGATAAATACAAATGAAATTACATGAATGGGATGGATATTGTTACAGAAAGCAATGAACATGAAGAAACGCATTAAACTAAAAAAAAAGATATCTAAGACAAATTACATGTGTACAATATCAGTGAATACACAATATTTACAATAGACCTAAAAGTAAATTTACAACAATTATAACGTACCGAATCAATGAATAATACGAGGAGTGAATAATATGGCGAATGGATATAACAATATAAATATGAATTAATGTACATAATACAATAAACCAACAAGGAGATGCATATAACAAATTGACAAGATGTATGCAATATGGTTAAATAGAATTCTAATGGATGCGGTTGCGAAATTATCTTTTTCACTTCACCGACACTACACACACCACCACTTCCTTTCCAAAATGATGTTGGAGGGCCGCGTCCTAACCGCCACTGTAGACGCGGAAATTTCTCCTTTTTCACGAGGACCCATCTTGCCATTCCTGGAACGTTGGAAGATGGCCTTTGCCACCCTAACCTGCCTTTCAGTGTGGTCAAATATTCGAGGTACCACGACTTCCAGAAGTGTTGATGGTAAGCGTGGATGAGGTGCCAAGGGATCGCCTGTTGATGGGAACGACGACGTGGTTTTTTCCTGAGGGACCAGTGGATGGCTGGCCGAAAGAGGCATTGGTCAGGTATAAATGCGACCAAATTATTGCGGTCGCTGGACAGCGGCTTCGAAAGGCGCGAATTCAGGACGGCTTTAACTCTGACAATGAGCGCATACACGCCCTCGCCCTCAAGATGGTTTTTATCAGTAATTTCGTTATACTTCCGGCTATTCATATTTAAACTCTTTGAACTAAGATTTGAACGGTCAACAACCTCGCAAAGTTTATTGGAAGAAACGTGGGGATTTAAAATACAATTGTGTGACAGGTAAACGGAATTATTTGAGGAATTTTCGTTAAGTACCTTCAGGTGCACAAGGTCTAGGTACTTCCTTTGAGAGACAATAAAACCCTCGTTACGTTTATGATCACGTCCCTTTGCTAACAATAACAGTTGGACAGCCAGTTCTCGGGAATTTCCTAATTTAGGTAGATTTTCGAAATAAGGGACTGTGGAACGCCCCAACTTCCTCTCGACTGATAACAGCCACTTTGGGTGCATTTGTGCAAAATTCTCTAACCGCGGCTGATTTTCCGAAAAGGGGTGTTTGACCATGAAATAGCCATCGGGTGAATGGCCTGTGGTAGTATACTGAAAAGGGGTTGCACAAAGATCGCTTTTAAACCCTTTGCTTAATGACCTGCTTCCGGTTTTGACGGTTTCAGCTTCCCAGAACCGAGAAATAATTTGGGCTGAACTAATTTTGTGATGATGGGAAGTATTATTTTTTAAAGATGCAAAACTGCCGCTAAGAATCAACCCCAGCGCGGTATTTTGAAGCACCGGTGGGTTTTTACTGGAATGACTTTTTATTTTGGGTTTAGCATTTTCGGAATGTTTTTTCTTGTCGAGTATTGCTACGTTTGACGTGTTGTCTTTAATATTTGAGTCTACGGATTCACATAAATATTGCGACCTAATTTTAAATTGGTTACAGACTAACAATGAGCCACAGTTTTTTGAATTAACTGGAGGACTTTTTACTTTGTCTAGTGCGGTAGATGACTCTGCATTAGAAGTTTTATCTAAATTAATTTGAGATACGCCTTCGGAGTTGTAACAATCATTAAAAAGATTATTTTTCTCTTCATTGGGTGTTGAATTTGGAAATTTTGAACGATTTGATATTTCACTAGGAGTTTTTGAAATAACGGAATCAAGAGGAGATTTTTTACCAATAGTGAACCGCAATTTACGTAGAGCATTGAAATGGGTTTTGTGAATTTTGATGGGTTCTCCATTTCTTAATTTGTGTACCTTTAAAGGCTTTAAATTTTGACAAGTTTTTTCCAGATCCGTGGTTGGTACGTTAGTGTTTATCTTACATGAATTCGAGAAAGTACACAATGGATTAGTTTTTTCAATGAGAACATTATATAATTCGGATATTTTTTGAATATAATTTAGCACGTCTCTGATATTATAAATTATAGGTTTGATCGTCTCCGTGTTACTCGTGTCATTCGGGACTACCATTGTTTCGGATTTTTGCTGAACTACAAGCATTTGTAATTCTGAATAAATTCGCTGTACGTCTTCATATCGACGCTTTAAGTGGCCTCTTTTTTGATGATTTGCAACATTTGATATAAAATTAGAATGTGAATCTATTTCGCTGAGAAGAATTGAAAATTTAACAAAAGTATTGTCTTGGATTACCACCATCTTGAGTACGAGAATAATGTATTACACCAACCAAACAGAATTAAAGCTTACCTGGAATCCTGGATTCGTGGATAGAATTATCTTGGCTGACGCTGAATGATACTTGAAGATTTTGCACAGCACTCGCGGTCGTCACCGATAGTTGAACACTGCGCGGATGATTTCTAGGTGATGTTTTGATAACTACTTTGCTGAATTCCAGCCGATGAATGATATGTTGAGAATTACACTTATCACTACCACTGTTATTCTGTCGCTAATCCGGCTCGAAGGACCATGTCGAAATTTGTATAAATGAATAAAGACCAGCGAACAGTAAGATAAATGTATTGCTAGTGACAAGTGTTAGGATAAATAAGAATGATAAGAATAGAATAGTATATGACCGTGCGGTCGAAATAGTTGAATGTTAGTTACGAATTGAGAGTTGTGAATTGAATGTGTATGAATGAGTTAAGAATTAAGAATGAATGCTACCCTGTGTTCCAAGGTGGGGGTGGCTCTGGCTCCCACCCTTACGGGTGGGGAGGGGTGAAACAGGTCCCCGCCAGAGGCTCTAACAGACACATTCTCCCAATACTTCACATAGGACCTGTATACTGGTATAACCGAAAAACGAGAAACAGATCTGAGCGAAGGGTAGGGGAAACTCGACGGAACTGTTCTTCGACTACGTGACGACGGTGGTTTGAGGAAGTTCTCAGGGCTATTTCCGCCTAGCGGCGGAAGTGGGTATCGTGGCTAAAGTGGACTTTTTAGAAATACCAACGGCTGAATTGGATAAACTCAACTGAATAGAACTAATGCCGTTTTCTATTTATTAAATTCGCTAATTGTCTAATTAGCGAAATTACGTTCCGTACAAGGCATTATCCGTTAACGTACACAATCGCCAATAAGGACACTGTATTTTCTATGTTTCCATAGATATAACAGCTTTTTCTACGTTTTGCGTATTGTAAGTTCTACAGGTCGTGGTTCTACGAAACGTGGTTTCTCTAATTGTCTATTAGCCTGCAAGCAAGCCATGTACATAATATACTTCAATATTTATACGTCAACAACCAAATTCTGTTTTGAATTGCAAAAGTATTAGAACAAATTCGAAATGGCTTTGATGAAAATATGGGCTAATAGAGAAGTAATACGATTCATGAATTTACGTTTACCACGGATTCCTGCATCATGTGGTCAGAATCGTAACTATGCCGATCATAAAATTCCTGAACGTTTAAAAAATATGGAAAACGAAGCAAATCCCAAATTCTATGATATGGTTGAATATTTTTTTCATAAAGCATGTGTTTTTATTGAAGATAAGTTGGTAGACGATTTAGGAAAGATTAAAGGTACGAAATTACCGCTAGAAATGCGGAAAGCACGAGTTAAAGGGATTCTCTCATTATTGGAACAATGTGATTACATTTTGGACGTAGCTTTTCCGATTAAAAGAGACAACGGTACTTATGAAATAATTCAGGGTTACCGAGCTCAACATAGTTCTCACAAACTGCCTATGAAAGGTGGAATCCGATATTCTCTCGACGTTAACATGGATGAGGTGAAAGCTTTAGCTGCATTAATGACATTTAAATGTGCGTGTGTTGATGTGCCTTTTGGAGGGGGCAAAGCGGGACTTAAAATTAATGCGAAAAACTATTCAGAAAACGAATTAGAAAAAATTACAAGACGTTTTGCTTTAGAGTTGGCTAAAAAGGGGTTTTTAGGCGCAGGTATAGACGTTCCAGCTCCTGATATGGCTACGGGCGAAAGAGAAATGGCGTGGATTGCTGATACTGTTAGTAAAGCTGTGGGTTTCAGAGATATCAACAGTAAAGGTTGTGTAACGGGAAAACCAATTAACCAAGGTGGAATTCATGGGCGAGTCTCAGCCACTGGAAGAGGGCTGTTCAACGGTCTTGATGTGTTCATTAATGACGCTAACTACATGAGTAAATGCGGCTTAACACCAGGGTGGCAAGGGAAAATTTTCATACTACAAGGTTTTGGAAACGTTGGTTTGCACGCTATGAGGTAGGTTTTTTCACATTAATGTTGTACAACTTATGCTGGAATTTAGAAATTTTACCACAGAAGTGATTATTCTTTCCATAAAATTAATCATATATTTTAAGAGTAATTTAGGGTATACATAATGTTTGTATTTTGAGTCGCTAATTAATTAGCTATGGGCAAAACATATTCCATGACGTTTGCCTAAACTTTACTACAAAATAAAGAATAACCAGCTTCTTAAATATACAAGAATTTTTTCGTCCATAAAATGAGCTGCAACTTATTTTTTCCAACTCATTGTTTGTCTCTTTATTTACCGTAACCAACAGTATATTATTCATCGAATAATAATGTCTTACTGGATAATTACCCACGTCCGTACCAAGTATATATTTGCAACCAGTCTATTTATGTTAACACGTTAAAATTTAGCCACCGTTACAAAAACGCATCTTCTTATATTTGCGGCGTATGACCAGTCAAGCACACTTGTACCAACACAACTTTATTGACTACTAGCTAACAACAAAATTTAATTAAAGGTGACGGAAGATAAGCGCCAAAACTTTTTTCTCTCACGCGTCTCTTAAGCGGTGCTGCTGTTGCCCGGCCACTTCTCGTCATTCTAAATGTTGCCAACAGTTGAAATTAAATCTTTAATAGGTTACAGTCCTCCCCTCTAAATTTGCTATCCCATTTCCTGTGTAATTCCTACACCAACCTACTAATTACTGTTTTTACATTAATATAATTACCTTAAGTTTAGCTATTCATTACATATGAATCTAGGAAATAGCAGCGCGGTACTCTCACGTGTCGTTTAGGTCTAGTAGAAATGTCGGTTGTGGATATGATAGGATATATGATTTTGTGATTGAGGATAGAGGAAAAAGGAAGTACAGGAGCTCTTCGATCTTATCAAAAGTTGCCGACTTCCCTCTGTTGCAGTTTTTCTCAGGTTGTTTTTGTCGAAGTGTTCCTATGTCTGAGGTCGGATATAATTTTTTATGTGATCCATATGCTTTTTGGGTGGTTTACCTTTATGACATGTTTTCATTTTATGTATTTTTGAGCCAATTTACTTCGTGACAATGGCCTCGATCCAGTTTTTTTATTAGGATCCAAAATCACGAATGAATACATTCTTCTACTTTGTCTTTCGAGCGGTCGAAAAAGTGGAAATCCAAAGGGTCTCTCACTCAAAGAAATTTAAGATTCAGAAATCTGAAGGAAAAGTGATCGCACCGATTTTTTGGGATAAGGATGGTATAATTTTAACAGATTACTTAGAAGCTGGCAAAACTATGACGGGACTATATTAATCTTCATTATTGGTTAAACTGCAAAAAAATGATCGAAAAACGTCGCGGGGAAATCTCAAAAGATGTGCTCTTTATGCAAGAAAATGCCCCCCCATATTCATCAGATTTAGCACTTTCTGATTTGTCTCTTCTCGAAACTGAAAAAAAAACGTTTGAAAGGAAAGATATACTTATCAAGTTTTCGCCGCAATAAATCGCCTTATAATTTACATTTTAAATTTTGAAAATGTTCAGTATTTGAAGACAAAGAAGTTATAAAATCGTAGACCCTGTTATCATCTTGACAATGTACATGTGGGTACGCAATTATAGTCGTCTTTCGTGTTGTTAGGAATAACTAAAAAAAACTGGTCGGAAGTTGTTTCAACAGAACTTTCTTCGCACCTAATAACTACAACGGAACATATCCGGCATTTTCGAGTTGAGTTTTTAATTTACACAATTTTGTGATCACGTCATCAACGTTTTTTGCAACGACACGTGTATCACCTAGGATTAGTGCAGTGTAATACTAAAAATAACAGTATGGTATTTTTCTGGAAAAATGGAGTGAGTCATTTCTGATTTAATCAATAAAATAAATTGACCCACTCATTAATTATACCTGTTTAAACAAATCTAAAAAATATAAATGCAATGATAAATCACAAGGTGCACATTTTGGGTAGAATTTATTCGGCAAAATTTTGAATTGACGTCATCAATTTTTTGGGGGAATATAGATATATTTTGATTAACAATTTAGCATGCTTACAATAACTTTAAAACGTCTGCAATATTTCAAAGTATTCAGTTTTACAATTCTCGATTTATTCAATAAAATAAATTTACTGATTTATTAATTTTTTGAGTCACCCTGTATCAGCAAATCTAAAAAGATGAATGCAATGATAAATTACAAGTATAGTCTGATCATATTTTGCACATTTTAGATAGGATTTATTCGGCAAAATTTTGAAATGACCTCATTAATTTTTGGAGGGGATACGCAAATATATTTTGATTAAAAATTTATTATGCTTATCACAACTTTAAAACATCTGCAAGATTTCAAAGCATTCGCTTTTACAGATTCAAAATTATATTCCAAAATCTTGTTTTATATATTTTTTTTTCCAAAAACCTGGGCGTTTCGGGTAAAAACTCAACACGGAGTCATAAACTACAGGTGTAGGACTATGTTATTTTATACAATTTAAAACCCATTTACTATGTACAATTTTGAAGTGACGTCATCATATTATTGGGGCGGATGATTAGACAAATCTGACAATAATCAGCCCAGTATTTTCGGAGATTATCTGTCTAATAAAAATCCGGACAGACGACAGATAGACGAACAGACGAACAGCCAGACAAATGGAAACGGGAGACCTATTTCTTCGTACTCTGGGGGTCATGAAAGGTCGTGAAGACACAAAAGTAGTACACTAAGTTAAGTTTTACCCTTGGCACCAAAAACATTGGCGTTCACAGAATTTCAATATCTATTCATTTTCAAGATACAGGGTGACTGCGAAATATAATTCCCCTTTTTTTTGCGTGTATTTCGCAATCACCTTGTATAAGACCGCGGAGATAGGGCACTGTGTACCAAAATAAAACTGGGTGGCAAATTAGATTACTGGTACAATCATTGTAATATGTAGTATTTAACTGTAATTAACTTCAGGGCACAACGCCTATACTTACCTTGTTTTTTATGAAAACAAATTTTATTGAAAATGTGTCAGGTACATATTTTGTAAATCAATGATACAGTATTATACATATTTAGATTTACAAATTCATATATAATTTCCAAGTAGGCAGTGTAGAACAAACAAATGAATAGTTTTGTTACAAATAAATGGTCTAAAATTATTTAGATATAACTTCCTTCGCTTCTGAGGCAAAAATAATGCATGTTAGATGGCAATTTTCAGACTGATTTAAGAATGTTTAGTAAATTATATACGTTGATATGTTATTCTATGAGAAATTCTGTTCCTAGAACAATAGAACAGTAAACTACATCAAACAATTTTTTAGTCAAAGGACGAAATTGTCTCAAAAATATAGTGTAGGTTTTTGTATGATAAAATTAAAGACGGGCAAAATTAGTTGGCGCGCTCGAGAAGTGCTTAAACTACTCATTATCATTTCCAGTCCAGGGTCGCGCCACCGAACATGCAGCGATGGGCGAAGCGAAACAATAACATCGCGCGCTACAGAAGGAAAGTGGTAGGAGTCGCATGCATTAACTTTGCCTGTCTCTAATGATAATCCACACAACAAATTTAAAAATGTCGTCTTTACTAAATAAATCCCACTTAAAATATGTAAATTAAGGTGCTACCTTGTGGTTTATTAAGTCTTATTAGGCTTTTAGAAAAAAATTAAAAATTGTATAACGAAATTTTACAATTAAATTTGCATATCTTAGAAACTGCAAAACATGTTACTCTAAAATTTTGCAACCGCAAGGGAAGTACTTTCATGACTCTTTAGACCAATTTTGTAACGATCATATATATATAATTAATCCAGTAATACGACGCAGGTACCTTCATCGAGCTGGAGCCAAGTGTATCGGAGTAATTGAAATTGATGGTGCTTTGTATAATCCAGATGGCATAAAACCTGCAGAACTAGAAGAATTTCGTCTATCTCAGGGAACCATAGTCGGATTTCCTGGAGCAAAACCCTTCGATCGTGATGCTCTTATGTACGAAGCGTGTGACATTTTAGTTCCGGCTGCTGCTGAAAAAGCTATTCGCAAGGATAATGCCAACAAAATAAAAGCGAAAATTATTGCTGAAGGTGCTAATGGACCAACAACACCAGCGGCGGATAAAATCCTTCTCGCTAAGAATATTTTAGTTCTTCCTGATTTGTATCTGAATGCTGGAGGTGTAACTGTTTCATACTTTGAATGGTTGAAAAACATCAACCACGTTTCGTTTGGAAGGCTAACATTTAAATATGATGAGGATTCCAATACACATCTTCTTCATTCAGTCGAAGAGTCTCTTAGAAAAAGTTTAGGAGGTGCAGGAAGTAAAATTGCAATAAAACCTTCCGAACAGTTTAAATCAAGAATGGCTGGCGCTTCCGAAAAAGATATTGTTCACTCTGGACTACAATACACAATGGAAAAGTCTGGAAAAGCTATTAAAGAAACTGCAGAAGAACATAAGTTAGGACTTGATCTTAGGACTGCAGCGTATATGAATAGCATTGAAAAAATATTTTCCACTATAAATGTAGCAGGTTTAACTTTCTGATTACGGTGATTAAAATGATTGTTGTTCATAACATCCACTTCCAACTCCCACAAATCATAAATTTCATTGTATAGTTTTTATGTATCTACTCCACTGTTAACTACAATTAAATGTAAAAGACGGTTATTTACATTTAACACATTGTTGACAACATCACCAACATGTGATGGAAATACAAAGGTAAAATTACCTTAAACAATTAGTAGGGACCCATCCCAGCAAGACATAGACACCAAAATATCAAAGAAACAATATTGTTACGATGATAGTTAATTAAATAAATTCGGCGTGGGTAAAACTCAACAATGTATTTCTCAGTAATATAGATTTATACGACTAACTACACAGCGAATAATTTGTACTCAGTATCATTAATCGATTCGGCTGGATTACAGTAGACTGGACTGCTCCCGACAGTGGTCGCTATTTAAACAACCGTACGCTTCTTCTGGAAAAGTCGCGAACGCCGCTTTCGAGGTTGTTTTGGAGTCCACCATCGAAATTTCCCGCGACTTTCGGTGGACCGCTTTCAGACTTTTCTTTATTCGAGTACCGCCGTCACCGATGATGAGTCACCACACCGTACATACTAAAAAAATCCATAGCGGCGTATGGGTAATTTTGTAACAATATAATCATTATATCACAGGTGGGAGAAACATAAATATCTAGAATGAACACACTACGGAAGTTAATGTTTAATTTGACTATTAATAAATCTACTAGAAGTATATAAAAACAAAAAGTCAGTTTTATTGGCTTCGTGTTATGTTTGCGCCTGTTAATGTATTGGTCAAGTTGTGTTTTGATGATTTAGAAAATTTAGTACAAGCGACGTCGTAAATCCAAAGACTAATACCTCTTACAAATCGTGTTACTACAATTGACAATGCTGCAACCAGTGAAATATTGTGACGAAAGCAGGTTTTACGGTGCATGTTGTTGATTTCGTCGAAAATTTTTAAAGGTATGACAGACGTTGGTGCCACCTTTGAACCCTTTAGTACTACTGGCTGATCGGGAGAGTACTAACGCCTCACGTCACGATGTTGCCACTTTTTACGGAGTAGTGCGTTGGAACCCAGCTTTTGCTTCCCAAAGACGCGCCGGGATTACTTTCATCATAGATAGCTCGTGAACGATCGGTTACAGAAAAAGAAAACAAATCCTCTTCATTACCTCTAGTTACAAACAAACGGCAGGACGGTACTCCGCATATATCTTCACATCGAGAGTGGTTCAATTCAATAGTTTAGATTGAGTTAGGTAAAGTAAAGCAAAGTAAGCAAGAAGGGGTAGTATCCTGTTGGTGACCTGCCAGGGGAGCGAAACTTCTTACGGTGTTGCCAGTACTTAGTAAAGAGATGGTGTTAAAAACTAGCACCTTATTAGAATTTATTATTTCTGTGTCCAGATTATTTTAAATGATTAACATGAAAAGGTCTTAAATAGCTCTTCATTTGGTTTCACGAATGCTTTTTGCAGCAAATAGATCGTTGTTAGCTTGGGTATATTGAAGACTTTAAGGCCAGGGTCTATTTTTGTTACATGGGTTTTTAATATGTACATTTCGAAATGTAACATCTCCATTATTAACAGACTTATTATTGTTGTAAAATTTTAAATTTGTCCACAACTTTGTCTCTAGATATAAAGAGCAATTTTGCTATCATCGTGTTTTTTTTTATTTTAGTGAAATTGTTGCATCACGTACTTATATTCCAAAAACAGTATCTCAGTTATTTATGGAACTTTCAGAACGCGATTTTCAACACTGTTAATACTTACAAAACTCTAGGTATCCTGTCAGATATTTGTCGTTTTGTTGGAAATGAGATACAGTAAAAAGAATACTTCTAGCGGCTTCTGTTTTTTGCTGTATCTCATTTCCAACAAAGAAAGTCGATAATGTGTTCGGGTACATTTTATCGGACGATGTTTAGAGTTTTGGAAGCTGAACAGTGGTGAAAATCGCGTTCCATAATTTCCATAAATAATAATAATTGAGACTGATTTTTAAAAACACGTGATGCAACAATTTTAACAAAGTTAAAAAAATATATATATGACATTAAACTTTAAAAAAATACCCTTGCATTATAGTACAAGTTGTGGACGGGGTATATTTAAAATTTCATAACAATAAGTCGGTTATTAATGGAGATGTTACGTTCTGAAAATTAGTGACATTCTGTGACCCAAACGTAGCGACTAATAATGATGGATTGAATACATACAGGAGAAATAATACTGGATCCAGAACTGATCCTTATCGAACACCAGACAATACCTTACCTTTTGAAGAACACGATGCAGCTGCTCTTACACTAAAATAACGGTCGTTTAGGAAAACAAAAACCTCAGTCCACTTTAAAAAGAAATGCACACGCCAGCTTTGTTCAACTTATTAGACCTATGACCTAGACAGAAAGCGATGATGTAGAACACGAACAAAAGCCTTTTAGAATTCCAAATAAATGACATTAATTGCTCATTTCTTTCTAATTACTAGGGTAGCACCAAATATTCCCTGCCTGACAGATCCTGGTACAGTAGCATATTAAGATGCTGGAACTGATTCTAGTCGTATTAAACTTGGAACACAACAAAATACAGTTTCCGTCAACTAGTTTTTTGACAACTGGCATTTGTATGGCATTTGTTCATCACGATGTCTGAAGTCACGAAAATTGAGTATCGAGCAGAGATCTTTCCCTTCAAAACATTAAAGATCGGTTGGGTGGGGTGTATGGGAAAGTCCTAGTCTTATTTTTTGATGAAGGAGTGGTCAAAACGGTTTCGAATGGGGCAGGGATCCTTGGAAGATGACGCCAGAACAGGTAGGCTGGTCGAAGTGGTAACGAACAACAACATTGTCCTTGTTGAAGATCTCGTGTTATTCGATCGACGTTTGAAGGCGAAAGAAATAGCACAAAAATGGGGCCTTTCAGATACAACCGTTTGCTGAATCGTCCATGATTATTTAGGCACGAATAAAATGAGTGCACGTTTCGTAAACATTTCTCAGCAATTCAGGGCCAGCGTCGTGTTGAATGTGCTCGGTCGTTTTTGGAGCTCTACAGAGAAAATCTTGTCGCCATACTGCAGACAATTGCCACAAGGAATGACACCATGGTTTTGTACTATGAGCCTTTGTATGTACAAAAGAGAGTTGATGGAAGGGAGACGAAACGGAGAAGCATCACCAAAAAAGTTCAAAGTCTGTCAGTCGACAAAAAAAGGTGATGGCTACGATCTTTTGCGATTTCAAGGCATTCCTCTTATGAACATTAAAGAACGCAACACCACAGTTAACAGGGCATGTTATGCAGTTCGTGATTGCGGTTTTCAATAAATCGATCAGGCTCCATATAGCCCAGATATGGCCTCCAGTGACTTGATTTGATTTCCCAAACAGGTATGATTACCTGTTTGGGAAATTGAAAAACGGGCAGGGCGCCATTTCGGTGACAATGAAAAGCTGAAGATTACAAGACAAGCAGAAAAAGTATTTTTTAAAGATACTGAATTGTTACTGAAACGATGTAATAAGTGCATTGATGTTAGGGGGGGTTTACAGTGAAAAATAAAATTGAATTGTAAATCTATTTAATTGTAGGGAATTTTTGGTACTGCCGTCGTATGATGTCCAGTCGTTTAGACATCGAAGTAAGCAAGAAACGATAGGCTTATATAGTAAGAAACTGTCCTGGTTTTAAGAAATCACATTATGATGATCAATCAAGAATTGATGAAGGTGACAACATGACTCTTTTTATAATTTTCTGGTTTTGTTTTGTCGCTTTTTTTAGTAAAGGAGTAACTTATGCCTGAATTCATATTGGTGGATATTTGCAATGAACAAGTTTATTCATGATTGTTTTTTCAAGCTAGGTGACCCTTAACATAAATACTCCCAACACATATCTACCCTGAAACTGAACTGTCAAGAATAAGTACGGGATAAAACCAAACAAATTAAGATTGTTGCGTATTTATTTCGAATATAAAACTACATAGTGACATGCAAAATACAATACAAATTTGTATTAGTAATGATAGCTGTATAAGGAACATATTTCTAGAACACTTCGATTTAGAAGAAATCATTACATTGTAAACTTATTTAAAAATGGAAATTGATGTTTTCATGAGATGTCAAGGTAAATGAGTCGTGAAAAATAAATACACTTTTTGGAGATCAATAATTTGGCGAGTTTCAATAATGTCGGAAATTATTGCACAAGTAAAAATCTTGCATAGTTTGTGGCTAGTTTTTAAAAATCAAATATACCTGCAAGGTACTAAATTCGCATAAATGATTAAAATAACTAGTAATGAAGTTTCTTGCAGATGTAAGTCTCCTCTTTTAGTACCAATAGGTGAAGCAACAAACTATGCAAATATGACAGTCTCTTTAGTTACTCTTTTAAAATTACTAAAACAATCCGATCATTCACAGACTTTGTTGTAAAGCAAAGTCTTATAAAATAGATAAATATTCTTTGTAAATTTGTATAAGTATATATAATATAAAAACGATTATAAGAGTAAACTTACAAAAATACGAATTGAAATGAGAGTAATGACTTTCAGTGTGATATTGACTTGATTAAATATCGTTCTGTCTACTTAAGTAAGTACAAAATTAAGGTTTATATTTCTGAGAAAAAAATAGCACTTAAAAGTAGAACCTGTCTACAGAGTGTTTGAACAATTCTTTCATTTTGGCCACAACCAATCGTTTTTCGCTTGTAATATTTGTTATTTATTATTTATTTATTTACTAAAAAGATACACCAAACGCCAAACTCCTTTCTTCACTTTTATGGAAACATTTAAAAAGCTATGATTTTTTGTAGATCAAAAATTTTAATCAAAACTGTCGAATTTCAAAAGTGACATTCCATTCATTAACTTTCATTTTACTTTCATTCTCTTTATTTATCTTCGCTAACTTGATTTGTATTCACATTTACGATTTGAACACACAAAAATTACTAGTAAAACATAGTGCTAAACCTGTATTTCACCTAATACTAAATGATTCAAAAAAAAACTTCTAGAAAATTATTATAATTCGAACTATCAGCGTGCTGTACTCCAGTTGAATAATAACGTAAATAATGTCAAAACTTACGCCAAGGAAAATTTTTCAACATATTCAAACTTATACAATTTTATTTTTAACAAAGACAAGCAAACATGAATTTGATGTATCATTTGTAATATTTCATGTTTATATTTTTCCAGGTATCATTTGGAAAGAAAACATCAATGTACTCTTAGGCTTCTAACCCATACTATTATTGGAAAAACTGTTACTATAACAAACTCTGTCACCAATCTGTTTATTTAGTCTGTAAATTTAGCAAAATTGTAAATTTACAAAACCCGGCTTAACGTTTAATTCTAATTTTAACAGGTGTGCTACAGAATAGTTATTACTATCTGTTAAAACAATTAGACCTGTAGTCTCTATTTGAACAGGCACTAATGGGAAAAAATATAGAGCTTTTCGGTTTGTTCCTTCAGTAAAATCATATGTCCATTGACCACTAAATAAAGAGGTCGTTATAAAATTATTTCACAGGCTCCGTCAATCAACGTGAATGTTCTCTTAGTTAATACTAACCGCCTCGAAAATGTCCCTTTTCGGCAATGAGTATTGAAGTAGAAAAGAGATCCTTTTTTAACATTGTTTTTCATCGAATGCAGTTCAGCTTTACAAATCTTGAACTATCTACGAAATAAATTTAATATTTTATCATGTAACGGTGTATTGTAAAAACGTTACACAAATAAATTAATTATATTTTATGGAGTTTACCCTCAATTTTCTGACATTAAATTTTAAGCAATGGCATCGTATGCATTTAGGTAGAATCATTACTGAAAAAACTGAACCAAATTTTGTGTTAAAATGCACAGTTGTAATAAATTTTTGCACTCCTGGGAGTGAAGTTGCTGTTTCACATTCTCTAATTTGGGGACTGAAATGGCTCATTTAATCCCAATGGACTGAAATAAAAATAGGATGTTTCCATGACAACGAAATAGCAAAACTTCAAAAGTTTACGAATTTAATTGCTGCTGTCAAAGTGACATTCGAATTTATTTTTACAATTTCAGGTTTAAATTAACTGGGAGTACAGAAAATAGCGTTTATACCACAAGACTGCAGTATTATTTAATCCCTCAGGCGATTATTTTCCTCGCCTTCGGTTCAAGACTTAAACTTTCGCCTTCGGGATTAAATGATGCACTTTAATCCTTTCATTATTGTATAAGAAGGGATAAAAGTGTCTATATTTTATACCCATTAAATTCGAAAATTGAAAGGTATTAATTTTATTGCACAGTTGTTTAATCAAGTCATGATCAATCATTGCAAAAAACTAGCATTTTAAACCATCCACTCTATCACTGCTCTCATTTCCCACGTCCTCAGAAAATTTATGATTATTTCTAATATGTGAGTTAAGATTCCCAGACTGCACAAACGCTTTATCGCAAAAATGACACTTAAAAGGTTTTTCGTCCGTATGAAGTCTTATATGGTTATTTAGGTTACCCGACTGAGTAAAGGCCCTATCGCAGTGAGGACATTTAAAGGGCCTTTCTCCTGTATGAATTCTCAAATGATTGACGAGGTTGCAGGACTGTGCAAAACCTTTATGACAAATTTCACAAATATATGGTTTATCCCCTGTATGGGTTCTCATGTGAATGAGCAAATTACTTTGAGTATTGAACCCTTTCATGCAAAACGTACATGTCAAGGGATCATCAGGATTTTTGCTGATTTGCTCGTGTTTTAGCAAATGAGTTTTCATTCGACGAAAATATTTTTTACAAATAGGACATTTTTCGAGAGGAAGGGATTTACGTCGGGCGTAAGTATCACCAGCACGTTCCGCTTCGTCTTTTGAGACCAGTCTTACCGTTTGTCGAGGAGATCGAGAAAAACTTTGTACTTTGATGTCGTCCTTTGAAGGCGAATATTCTTTATCGAAGAGTCTTATTTTGATTTGAGGTTTTTTACTTAAAGGAATTATAGATATGTCTGGTGGCACCATTTTTGAATGAATACCGTTGAGGGAAGATGTGCAGGACTGTTTTCTTTTAACGCACTTTTCCTACAAGAAAAATTCTCAGATTATTTTCAAGTTTAACACTGCACAGCCAATGTTAAAAAGAAATGCTACAAAAAAAAGAAAAGAGTGTTAAAAATGTTTGAGTTACATTCAGAGACTTTAAAGTATTTTAAGTATTTAAAGTCTCTGGTTACATTATACAGGTGTTCATTTTATCTGTTCACGCCTGAATATTTCGACATAGGCAACCCATTTTACGTTTCATAAACAGCTTTGATTAATTTTTATTTTTAAATCAAATTAATTCATTTTTAAATAATAATGAACGCATAGATAGCAATGATCAGAACCAAAATTATGACAAATTATTTCTGTCAGCCAAATATTTTCAATTTTCGTTTGCTTTAAAATGTTTTCGAATTCTGAAACATGACATGCTATTAATATTGGGAAAGTGTGACAAAAATTTTGATGCTACTGTTCGTCTCTACGCCAGGCAATATCCCAATAGAAGAACTCTCTAAATCAAGCGTTTAGAAAACGGGAAAAAAAATTACGAGAATTTGGGCAATTCAATAAAAACAAAGTTATAAATCGAACTGTAACAACGCCGGATAATGAAGCTGCTCTAATTAAAATTGTAGCAGAAAATCCCAAATGGAGATTAGTGTGGGTTCGGTTTTCAACATCTTAAAGGCAAACCGATTTCATCCATACCATGTGACAATTGTCCAATATTTAAAAGAACGCGATTTTATCCGACGGTTAGTGTTTTGCGAATTTGTGAGGGCTCAATTATGAGACAATCAAGATTTTTTATTTAACTTTTGATTTACGGATGAAGCCACATTTACCAATAACGGGTGTGTAAACAGACATAACTCACATTACTATGCCCAGCAAAATCCCCATTGGTATCAGGAACAGCACTTTCAAAAAGTTTTCAAAGTTAATGCTTGGTGTGGAATTGTTGGTTACCACGTCATTGGTCCACATTTTTTTGAAAGAAATTTAAACGGACCTATGTATCTAAATTTGTTAAAGAATATTTTACCTGAACTGTTGGAAAACGTAGAAGTAGACATACGAAGACGACGCCCTGATCTAACGCCACTAGATTTTTTTCTTTGGGAGAAGGTGAAAAATGACGTTTATAGTGTCCCAATCGAAAATGAAAACCACTTACGTGAAAGGATAATAGCGTCATGCAGGTCTATAACTCCCGACATGTTAGAGTTCGTAGAAATTTTGAACGTAGGATAGGACTTTGTGAAGATCGTGGAGGCAGGCATTTTGAACATTTATTATAAATTCGTTTTCGTTGTAATCTGATCCATTAATAAATAAATAAATTAATTCATTAATTATTAATTTTTTCAATTTTGTCATTATTTGGCATTTTTCTGTGATTGCTATGATTGCTTATTAAAAAAAAAATAAATTGGACGAAGTTGTCTCCGGGGAGTATAATATGTTGTCTATGCAAAAATTGTCAGGCGTGAACAGATAAAATGAACATCCTGTATTTTGATTAAAAATGTATCATGCTTATCATAACTGTAAACCATCTGCAAGATTTCAAAGCATTCGGTTCTGCAGATTCAAAATTAAATTGCAAAATGTTGTTTCATAATTTTTACTTTTTTCCAAAAACCTGGACGTTTCGGGTAAAAACTCAACACGGAGTCATAAACTACAGGTGTAGGACTATGTTATTTTATCAATTTAAAACTCATTTACTATGCACAATTTTGAAGTGACGTCATCGAATTAGTGGTGGGGATGATTAGAGAAATTTTGGTTACAGTTTTACCATCTACATAATATAAATACATCTGTCTAATAAAAATCAGTGACTGCAGACAGACGGATAGACGGACGGACGGACAGACAGACGGAAACGGGACACGTATTTCTTCGTTCTGTACGGTTCATGAAAGGTCGAGAAAACGTAAAATTCCAGCGTCGGCCGACGGACTCGATTACAATACTTAGTTTCCTTACGCTCAGGAAGAAAAAGTGGTCGAAAGTTGTTTCGACAGAACTTCCCTCGGTCCTGACGTACAATGAAACATATCCAGCATTTTCGAGTTGAGTTTTTTCTTTACACAATTTTGTGATGACGTCATCAACATTTTTGCAAGGACACGTATATCAACTTGGATTTTTTGGGGTGGCGTCATTAATTTTTTAGGAGGGATGAGCAAACACATTCTGAAAAAAAATGTACCATGCCTATGATAACTTTAAAACATTTACAAGATTTCAAAACACTTGATTTTGTGGTTCCTAATTCAATAAGTAAAATAAATTTACGTATTCATTAATTTTTTTTGGGCCACTCTGTATATGCAAATCCAAAAATAATGAATGGAATGATAAATCACAAGTGCAGACTCATCACATTTTAGATAGGATTTATTCAGCAAAATTTTGGGGTGGCGTCATCAATTTTTTAGGGGAGATGAGCTAATACATTTGGATCAAAAATTTACCATGATTATGATAACTTTAAAACATCTCCAAGATTTCAAAGCATTGGTTTTGCAGATTCAAAATTAAATTGCAAAACGTTATTTTATAATTTTGATTTTTTTTCCAAAAATCTGGACATTTCGGGTAAAAACTCAATACGGAGTCGTAAACTAGACGTGTAGGACTATGTTATTTCATACAATTTAAAACCCATTTAGTATGTGCAATTTTGAAGTGACGTAATCACATTATTGGTGGGGATGATTAGGCAAATTTTGGTTACATACAAAATTTGACAATCGGCCCAGTACTTTCCGAGATTATCTGTCTAATAAAAATCCGGGACGGCAGACAGACCCAAACGGGAGACCTATTTCTTCGTACTCGAAAGGTCATGAAAGGTCGAGAAAACGTAAAGGTAGAGAGTCGGTCAAGCGACTCGATTACAATACTTCCTTTGCTTACGCTTGGGAAGTAACAACAAATTAATTTTTTCGCAGTGAGTTTTGGATTTTACATGGGTAGGACCATCACCGTTATCCAATTTTCAAAATATTATTTTATGAATAATAAAAATTTTCAAATAGAAGTATTACTTTTAACTTTTTGAAAACAAAAAATTTGTGCACGAATTCTACTTTATTTAATGGCACTCGAATGTATTTTATGGTTTTTAACCTTCGAGATATGATCTGGGGCTCATGCGATTAAAAAAACCGATTTCGTGGACTTCCTTACTACAGTAAAAGTAACCCCACATCAGCACTCTATTCAACCTTTGTCTTTATGGTGGTGGAAATCATCTTTTTTTTTAATATTTATATACACTGTTTATTTAAAAACTGGTGGTAAGTAATACAAATCCCCTGCAAAATCAATTATAAGATAGTATGATGTACTGTATATGTAAGTATATGTATTATCCTCCTATCCCTTTAGAACGTAATAAACTAATAACTAAATACATATATTTTATTTATTAGGGAACAAAAGATAATATATTTTATTAAATTTTGACATGTAAACAAACGTTTATTTTGCCGTCAGTAGGCCACTAAAGCTTTGGTTTATCCGGTAGCACCATACAATTTTTAAACCGCTAGCGAAATAAAATTTTTATTTTGCTGTTTTAAAACCATGGTTACCATTTCTGTAATTTCTCCAATGCCTTGCTGCTCTTTCCATCTAAGGAACTTTTGATACACTTTCTGATTTGCTCTTTTTTGGGAGCAAGTTTTGCCGTTGGAATCTTGCATGATTTTGCAATTTTTCGATAATTTTAGTTTGTTTAAAATAAACAAACACCGTCGCCAGAGTCACATACTACACACACACACCTGATATTGTAACCTAAATTCTACGCATATAAAACTTTTATTTGGTCGCTGTCAATTCTGACGTTTCTCGAATGTGAACTTTGAATCACCAATTTTATCACAATTTGGGACTTGGGGTTGTCAAAATTGAATAAAATTTTGTATTACACTCGCGGTTAAAATGAATGTGTAACTCGCGGTCTTAAGGCGCTCGCGGCATACGCCGCTCTCGCCTTAAACTGACCGCTCATTAAACATTCACTTTAACCGCTTGTATAATAAATAACTATTGTTACAGCTTCATTTTCTGGTGTTATTACTATAGTTACGACGCTTAACTTTATTTTTTTTTAAGTTTACAAACTTCTCTTGTTTGCGTTTTTTAAAAGCTTGGTTAGAAGGAATTGTATATTTGGGACATCGCCCGGCATGTAGACGAACGCCAGCATCGAAATTATCATCAGCCTTACCACGCTTTCCCACAGTTAAAAGCAAAAGGTTTTTTCGAAATTTGAAAACATCATTAGCAAAAGTTGGAAATAATTTTATTGCTAGAATTAATTTGTCACAATTTTTGACGTAATCATTGCCATATTTAGGAGCATTATTTATAAAAAAAAATTAAGACGAAGTCGTTTATGGAAAGTAAATGTGTTGCCTATTCAGAAATATGCAGTCGTGAATAAATAATCACCCTGTACTTAAAAACAAATAAATTACAACTGATCACATTATTTCAAAAGTACTACCTGTATAAGAGATATATTAAAAACTTATCACAACCCTTAGATTTCAAGGAAATATAATAAACAAGATACAAACATTGGCACTGCAACACGATTTACATGATTACAAAACAACGAACTCTAATTAATGAGTTACCATTTTAACAACCTTAAAATATGTGACAATCTTCCATAGCTCCTAAATTAAATTGTAAAATTTAGTTGCATACATTTTTTTTTAGTCTATAAGTAAAATGTCAAAAATATGAATGGATAAATAAATAATAAGTGCAGAAGATACTATTTTATACATTTTAAAAATGATGAGCAAAATTTTAAGATAACGTCATCAAGTTCTTCAAAGAAATGAACATATGAATTTTGATTGGCGATTTACCATGTTAATGATAACTTTCAGGCGTGTGTAGAATTTCAAAGTAAAGGGTTTTGTAATTCCTAAGTAATCTTTTTTTCCAAAAACCAATATCCACAAGATAAAAAATAAGCTGGATCTAATAGTATTTACGTGGAATAACGTCCTCAAATTAGGATCATCCAAATTTTGGACAATTTCACAACAATGAATGAGTTTATTTGTCCAATAGAAATCACAGAAAAGGCAGATGGACAGAAAGAAAGATCTATTTTTTCATATACTAGGAGCTATTAAAACACAAGAAAAGACGACGTTAGCCAATACAGTACTTCCCAGATTGTGCTTGTTAACTAAAAAACTTAAGAATGTTTTAACTTATTTAAACAGGGTGATTAAATTTGAGAACTGTTAGTTTACTTGTACTATTCAAATGGGACACTTTATCTTTTATAGCATTTACGAGCTTATCGTCAACTCAATATTTTTTATACCAAGTTTTTCAAGGTTTATCCTAACGGTATTTTTACAATTAGTGTTGCTGTATGATTTGCTGACAGAAAGTTTACTTATTTTTCATGACCTTAAATTTTTATACATTATAAATGCAACATATTTCAATAAAATACAAACCCTATAAAAATATTTCATTTCTAAATATCTGCATGTGTTATACATTTACACATCTATACTGTTTGTAAATAAAAAACGATTTTTGCAAGTTTTAGCACATATTCAAGTCGTCAATATCATTTTGGCATGTTCAACAACTTACAGAAAGTTTGTTACTACAAGATATTTTGAAAAGCAATATATGTATGAAAATGCTAATTTCCATTACAACTGCAAAAAAAATTTTAATATTTTACAAACCTACAGCGATTTTGCCAGCCACTTAAATCTCTCTTCGTAATAGAACTATGTCATCTTTTAATGACATCAAAAGAATGCAGAAAGATCGCCAAACAAAAATAAATAATTATAGAATTAAGAATAAAATAAAGCTTGCGTTGACTTGAAAAAGAAAACTTACATTTAACGTTGTTAACTTGTTAGTCATTAAAATTTTTAAATATACTCGTTGAGGATCGTTTCAATGACTCCGATATTGAAGTAAAATAAACAACAAAACAAAAACAAAAATTCAAAACAATATTAATAAGCGTCTCTTGAATTTAATTGGCAATATTGAATCTTAACAGCTGAATTGTGTGCATTTTCAATCCTCTATCCTAAACCAATTTGCCTGCAGGGGTTAGGTACTGTTTTAATTGTTAATTACTCTTCAGTAAGCACATAACAGGGGTTGCCGTCGTCACGTTTCCGACAGCGAGGGAAGTACTGTCTAAACTCTTTAGACCAATTTTTTTTAGGCTGCATTCTTTGTAGTAAAAAAAGATTTTCTAATAAAACTTATTACTCTTATTCTAAACATGGTATCTGCATAAAGTGTAGAAAGCTTAAAATGGGAGTTTTTTTAAACGAGCCATTATTAACTTCAATTATTCTACCAGGGACTAATGGTAACGTCACCTGTAGTTTGGACGGAATTTCTAGGGAGTTGACAAACAAACACAACATTAACATACTAAACATTAAAAGTGTACTTCTTTTATTCTTAAGATTGGGGACATAGTAATTCGTTTAAGTATATGTGTGGATTTTTGAACGCAAAAAATGAGTTTCACAATTTGTTATTTACTTTTTTTTTGTGATAAATTATGATCAAATTTACGAAATGTTACACAGCGATTTATCAACAAAACGTTGGGGTCAATGACTTAAAGTATTTAAAATAAAATATCTACATAAATATATTAATTTGAGATTAATGCTTTTGTAGAATAATAAGTGTAAATAGTGGCCATTCTTTTGATAATGCCTTGTGCAGAATACCTATCTGCTATTTACAAATGTACACACATTTGTTTCTATTGTGAAATATTTAACCTTGTTGAACGGAATCGCTCAATTTAGTTTACTTTCATAGGCATAAAAACGGAAACAAAAGGCTCGCTACTAAATCGCATTAATTTTGCGGATCTTGACATATAACAATCGAACCTTCTTTATTTTTGGTGTACATACTCAATATTACCAAAATAACTCTACGAGTAAAAAAAAATGGTGTAAGGTTACTTATACAGACTTCCCCAGCGCCTGAGTGGAATCAAATAAATATAATTAAAATACAGAATAGAATTTGATTTCGCGATTTATACCTTTTTATAATAACCCCTGTTAAGTTAAAACAATCATATGCTTGAAGTGTTAAACTACAGGTAAAGAAGCATGCTCAACATTTTAGCAAAGACACATACTTAAATTTAGACAGATACAATGTAATACTTCTGATAACAGTACTGTATTCCCAAATTTTCTGAAAAATGGGGTGAGCGGTTTTTGATTTTATGAATAAACTAAATTGCTTCATTCATATTTTTTTCTAGTACAGACTCATTATTTGCATATTTAGATACCATTTATCCAGCAAATTCTTAAGATGACGTCATCAAGCTTTTGGTGGGATAAACAAATAAATTTTGATTAACGATTTACCATGCTTACGATAACATTAAAACGTTTGTAAAATTTCAGGGCATTTTACAGTTTCTGCTTTAAACTAAAAAAAGTCAACATTGTGTAACATTTTACAGTTTAAAGTAGAAACTGTAAAATGTTCCACAATGTTGACTTTTTTCCAAAAATCTGGATGTATGGTAAGAAAAAATCAAGGTGGATTGATAACCTACGAGTATATTTATTTTACAATAATTAAATATCACTTACTATTAGAGATGTACCGACTGTAGGTCTGGCCGACTAACCGACTAGCCGATTGTTCGGCCAGTATAAACAGACTAGTCGGCCGACTGTTCGGCTTTGCTAAAACCGGTTTATAAATGCGACAGACAGTGTGTTTTTTTTCTATTTCTCTGACTACCTTAAAAAAAATTTTTATTTTAATAAAAGGAATAACTAAAGTTCCTTTGTTTTCCAAAAAATGTGTTAAATTTGTTTGGATAATTTTAACATTTAATTTTTTTTAGTAACTCAGTACAAAAATAAAGAATAACACAATTTAGAGCCAGTTAATACAATATTTTAACTGAGATTAAGTTGATCGCGCATTTAACAAGGCCATTAGCGAGGTCTGATTGGCGTAGAGTCGGTCACATGGTACTTCAACCAGGGGTTAAAAATTAAATCGCAATTAAATATTTAATTGAGGTTCTGTAAACCGGGTTTAATTGTTTTATATACTATTTAAATTTTGATAAAAAAAACCGACAGATCGGCTGTTTGGCCGAACGGTCGCCGACTGCAGCCGACGATGAAAAACGGCCGAATAGTCGGCTTATCCGACCGGTCGGCCACTAGTCGGTACATCCCTACTTACTATGCAAAATTTGAGATCACGTCATTAAAATAGTAGTGAGGGGGGGGGGGGGGAGGATCGTCGAGAAAACATGAAAGTAGCCGTAATGTATGGAAGAAATGAAAAAAGTGCAAATTATTACCTCACTTGTTACAATCAGGTAAAAAATTTGAAATTTACTGTAAAATGTAATCAACTTTTTATCGAATATTTATTACATTATAAACTGTATTGAAAGTTGAAGATAAAATTATCTTCGATTCGTTCAACAAATCAGTTCATATATTTTTAGTATTTCTAGGCCACCTGGTTGTGAAAAAAAGAAGAAAAACATTAATTATTGTTAAAATACTTTTTTAAATTTCCCAAAAATAAAATCTTACAGCATGTCAAGGGAATGCCTTACTACTCAATAAATTATAATACTCTTGTGATCCACTTTTGAAGCCTGCAGCTTGCCTTTGGTCAATTGATATCGATAATGTGTTGACGTGACCCAGTTTGGTCACATAATCAAAAAATAATGCTCACCTTTTGGTGATACATTTTAATGGATTGTCAAAAAATAGTTTCTGTTGTAAAAAAATGTGGGTGCATATTTTTAAGTTTAAATATGTATAACAAACAGGTCTTAAATAACCGTCTCCAATAAAGAACACATTATGCAGTCTACCTTAGATCAGTTATGTAATCAAAAGTTCTGTATTAACTGAACAATGTTTAATAATCTGTAAAATATCTTGGATAATGCATTAATAAACTTGCAATCACAAAATCATTATTAAGACAGATTTTACTGCAATTGCGTAATCTTCTGACACAAGAGAGAAATGTTTCATAACTCTGATTAATTTGTTGTTATGCATAAAAAATGCATTACAGAATTATGCATACATTAACCATCTTCAACATAAATATATATTAAAACAATCCGACTGTGGAATTCTTTCAGCCAACGTACATATCACAACTCTAAAAATTCTAAAATGTCCTGCTCTGATTTACTATAAAAAAAGCAACATAAATATATTTTTAGAGACATTGTAGTCTGAAGAATCATTGTAACTCACATCTTCATCTTCACTGGACACATGATTAATGATCACGTCAGGCTCCAAACTTCTGTGAAAATCCCTTTCTTGGGCATTTTCCATGATTAGCTCCGAACCTGGAATAAAATAAACATTGGGAAATCATTCCTTCTAATAATAAAGCCGCATATGTGTTTTGTTTACGAACTGCATAATTTTTTTGGTGCTGTCAAAAGTCGCAAAATAAACAAACGAGCAATTAATGTGTGATTCAGCAAAAGGAATGGTAATTACCTTTATTACTGAAAAGTACCGAGTAGAACTGTAAAACACGCAAACATTATAAGTTGGTCCAGATTAAAGATACAAAAAAAGCTATACAGACAAGAACTCGAAAGGTTGCTTAAAAAAATATACAAAAAGTGCGCTTCGTGCTGTCAAAATTCATTTATCCTCTTCTAATGCAAGAATCGGATCGATTTCATAGTAATGCCAACATCCATAGTACATTAAAAGTTACTAGAATTTAAAAAATAATTTACGACAATAATTGCTTAAAAATAAATAAAACCAGTCTTTTTTGTGTGATCAATATTTACAAAAGTGAAAAACATGTAGGTGTACTATTTTTAATATAACATGTGTTTTTTTTTTCTCAAAATAGTCCTAAATCCTAGGGACTTTATGCTTGCCGTAGATATTGGCAATACATACATACTTCTTTACGTCGGGTTGGCATTGACGTCTTTCTTTTCACCGAATTTTCCTTGCAGCAAGCATGGGTGAGTGTAGAGAAAATTAGTTTTTTTTTTAAATTGATAAATAGCGCAAAGTAGAGAAACGAAAGTAAATCAAAATTTGTAATTTTTAGTTGTATTTTTATTTACATACTAACAACTAGGTTAACAAAAGTGTCTGCTTCAAACAAACCCGTTGAAATTTTGTAGACGAAACCAGCATTTAAATCTAAACCATCCTATACGTAAATACACGCAAACCGTAATTTTTTTGTAAAAATATCGTAGCTAAATGTATTCGGGAGTTCTCAGCAAAAATATTTTTAAGGTTACTAATTTTGTGTTGTTTTTAGGCAAACCCCGCGGTTTGAGGACGGCAAGAAAACATGTGAACCATCGTCGTGAACAACGATGGGCGGATAAAGATTACAAGAAAGCACATTTAGGAACGCGTTGGAAGGCAAATCCATTTGGAGGTGCATCTCACGCTAAAGGCATTGTGCTTGAAAAAGTGTGAGTATCTGTCAGATATGGTATACATTAAACACATCGCACTAGAAAACCGCTGGGTATCCATTGATACTTTAGGGTGTATTTCGTGCAAAATTAAATTGATGTACTCTGAACCATTGGATAACCATTTTGATTGGTTCTACACTCTGATATGAGTACAACATAATATAATTTTTGTCAATTCTGTGCGCAGAATTTACTTGTGAATGGGTGCTTTTGAATCAATCACAGGAAAATTCTGTGCGGAGAGTTGATGGTGGCGGCAACGAAATTGAATGTAAGTATATTTTAAATGTAAGTTTTATAATACTGTTAAAAGTGTTCAACTGTGGAAGTTCAATTAGATAAAAAAATGTTGTCAGTTAATGGTATGTGCAAACGGAATGGAGATCTACATATAAATGTAAACGAAATGTATTATCACTAAAATGGGCAGATTGCCTTTGTTTCTGTCATCCCATCATGTTGGGAAGTCCTTTTTAATTTTGTTGATCATTCTTTTTTAATTTTTCTCGTTAAGTCAATGCTCTAAATTAGTGTAGATAACATAAGAAACAGTGGCTAATTCCCAACACTATGACGGAAGTTTACTTTTTTGACAGAAAATCTTTAGATTTTGATAATAAACAAATCATTTCAGTTTCACAAACAAATCTTGATTGTATCTGAGTTTCTTAACATCCTGTATTTAGTTTTTAGTCATAGGTGTGTGCCATCAAGGCTTCTGTGCACCAAACGTTTTTCTTCTTCTCATTGCTAACTGAACGTAAATGTCGAACATTTAAATGTTTTCTTTTATTCCTTGTCGATGACGATATTTTGCTTCAAAATTCTTAAGTCATTTTAAAACAAAAACTGTACTTCGTATGCTTTTATATGACTAAAAATAGAGATTTGGTGTGGTTAAATATTAACCATGTTATATGGACGTCAACGACTAAAAATCTCTTAAGTAAATTTCAATTTTTTATGAAAACGAATAGAAAAGATTGTATTCTTTTTTAATATGCCTTAAGTAAAATGTTGATTGTTATTTTTTATCATAAATGAATGGACAATGATTTCTTTCGTCGAAACTTGTTACAATTTTTGCTCTGAAAATTGACGGACTTGTTCAGTTTCGGTCACTTTGGTAGGCACAACCAAGAAAAGGACAATTTACGATCTAGGAATTTTAGTGTTTGTTATCAATAGTTTCCAACATGTTTTTTCGTTGGATTCATTAACGTTGAGTTTATGGTTTCAATGTCCTCCTAGGTTCTTTATCCATTTGATATGATAAATAATCCGTAATTTAGAGTCAGTAATTTACAAATTCTATCACTGTTTTTAAGACTGTAAGGTGGTGGATGTTAGAGTTATAGACTATAAAAATTCGCATTTTTATTTTTATATCTTCGTTGCAGGGGCGTAGAAGCCAAACAGCCGAACTCAGCTATCCGCAAATGTGTAAGAGTTCAGTTAATAAAGAATGGAAAAAAAATCACAGCATTTGTACCGAGAGATGGTTGTTTAAATCATATTGAAGAAAATGACGAAGTTTTAGTGGCAGGCTTTGGTCGGAAAGGTCATGCTGTAGGTGATATCCCTGGAGTTAGATTCAAAGTAAGTCATGGACAGTGAAAGTTTCAATACTTACAGACGTTGTTTTACAGGTTGTGAAAGTTGCTAATGTATCCCTATTAGCTTTGTATAAAGAAAAGAAAGAACGACCCAGGTCATAATTCATTTTTTGTAAACTTTTTTTTACATCTTAAAATAGATGTTTAATTAGATAAACTGTTTTATTATTCTACATCATCAAAAAGAATAACTTTTAAACATATAGGTTCTGAACAGTATTGTTTATCTGAATAAACAGTACTGTTTCATCTGTAACTAGGTTCCAAATGACAACAGATGAAAAGTAGACGATACTATTAAATTATGATTAAACTTAAACCTTTAAAGTCGCTTTCTGAATGTTCAGTGAAAAATGAAGCACTTGACAACGCTAAGTCTTCCTCAACTGAAATGATTAAAACTACTTCAAACCTTCCGTGTCAAACGGTTGTCATCTATTATTATTGTGCAAGTGGGTAAGTTACACATTCAAAAATAAGTTCCTTCAGAACTAAAGGGTTAATCTTATTTGAGGTATTTAAAGCTTGTATCTGAACATAATTGATGCACATCCCAACAACCGTGTTATAAAATTTCCACGCATAAAATAAAAAAGTCGGTTACGGTATGTTGGTTTCATTGCGGTTTCTGAAACAACTGGATGTTAATTTCAGGATAATCTCAAACGCTACAAAACCAAAGTCGTTTGATGTTGTTTACATACTGTTGAGATTATTTTTAAATGTTAAAGTAGTCTGTTGCAACAATCTTTTATAGTGCATTTTAGAAACTATTCAACCAATCACTTTTAATATATGACATACCATCTATCCATCCCCATCAAAAACTTACGAAGTAAATCCTATTTGTTACAATTTAAGCAGCATGTGGGAGAAACTTCAAACTGTGAACTCAGCTTTATTGAACGTAAATTCCAAATAGCATGACCATTTATATTTGATGGATTTACAACACCGGGGCTGGGATTTATAGATACTTAATATTAGAGTCGTAAAATTTTACGAGGATACAAATTTTTTGCTACAATAATACATAATCCATCATCAACAGACAAGTATAAATGAGAAAAAAATTTGAAGGCGGGAAGGTACCTACCCAATAAATAACGGGTGTCTGATTAAAAACCGGGTCAATAGCTGCATTCTAATGTATTCTTTTTTTTTTCGTATGTCGTAGTATTTGTCATCGTGTTCGAGATAGGTAAAATAGTTATGTTAGCGCCGCTTATGATGGGTGTCGCGACTCAAGGTTGAGCCTGTGCTGAGCATTGTATGGTTGGGAATATGAGTAGCGGTGCGAGGTCAGGACTGACAGGAGGCATGTAAGGAAACTACCATGATACCAGACTGGTGGTTGTGGATGCGTCATTTAATATCTGAGATATACTGTGATCTGCTGAGACTGTATGGGATATACTGTGGTATGGGATACGTTGTAGAAAAGGAGCAGCGAATAAAGAATTCGTGACGCTGTGTGTTTCTAAATTTGGGGAAAAACAAGATATTAGTTGTTCATGCTAAACTCAGTTTAAAGATTAGATTCACAACCAAGGGGGGTGGAATTCTTATGCCAAGCTCCTCGTTCACAACAGTCGATATAATAAGCGGTTGACAGCTTTTAAAATTCATTTAGGAAACGAGAAACGACGTACGGAAAAAAACCTGATGACATATTTAATACTCTTGAAGTGCTCTTGACCAGCGGTAGTGTTATGCTTTAAAAGGATGAGCAACCCCAAGCAAACAAGCCCAAAAAATACTATTTGTCCTACCGTTCTCACAGCTTTAAACACAGCGATAATCTAATTTTGAAAACGCACTTGCCCTATTAAAAGATGGATGTACAAAATGACCAGACTACATTTTTAAAATTCTAACCCTTTCTTCTAGATATTAGGGGTCACAGTTTGATGAATTTCAATACGTGTTTGTAATGCCTTTTTTAAAGGAATTCAAAAATCCGGTCTGGTCATTCTGTAGAAGAAGGCTTTGTATATTTTAAGTTAAAATATCTTTTAGATATTTCCGGTAATTACTATAAGAGAGGTGCAGGACAAAACCAATATTTCGCAAATTTTCGATTTACAATGCAATGGGGTGCCTCCTTTACAGGGACATGATGAAATTTTGTAGGTATACCCATCTATTTGTATAGTCTCAGACAAAAGTATATTATACCTAACTTTCCCAAAATTTAAATAATCTTATTATGTGGGCCAGCGTTGGCTCAAGGTCATTTAGAGTTGCTCATCCTCCTAATTTAGACACCCGGTATATTCTACGGTGTCCCTGTGGTGGTGTAGTGGTAGCCGTGGCAGGTAGGTGACATTGGCAACCTGCTGGCACATCCTGAGATTTGTGTGGACCACGGTTGTAGAATAGATAGGTTTGTACACTAATGGCTTGGGATGGCGACGCTTCTTTTCGATCCCTATATCCATGGAAAGGACACATACAGCTAGCGCCTCTACCTTGTCCAGCGGAAATCATTCTAGTTATTTTGGGGATTTTCGTTTACATTGCTTTATGAACAATACAAAATTTGTAAATGACATTTGATCGGAGTCGATAAGTAGGATTTCTTTTATTAATTACATCGGTTATAGACAGATGCCTATAGAGTTCTGTGTCCCTAAAACGTCAAAAACCAGGCGACGCGATCGACAATTGGCGTCGCTAACCAGGGATATGCAAATGTATGCTAGTGTATCAACCTATCTATTCTACAACCGTGGTGTGGACTGTGGCATTTTTATAACCATGACTCCGCGAGACTAGAAGTGAGGTTAAACTGTTGCGAGATAAGATTTATGGTTGCGAGACGGTGGAAAGTGGTTTAAATGAAAGTGAGATTAAGACGAGTTAGAAGGTTGTTGAAAAATTTATTTCTTATTTTGCTAATTAAGTGCAAGAACAGAGTAAGTGACGCGAATAATCTCTTCCAAAATTATAACAGAAAGCAAAATTTAATCTGTCAAAATGTATTCAACTTTCCGCATACTCACATATTATTTAACAATTACCAAAACTTATTTAAGAAATTAGATTGTCACTGTACAAATTTGACCTAAATATCTATTTACTCAGTCACATTTAATTGTTTAGTCCCTTCCAAACTCATTTTTTAGGGTTTACCAGCATTTTAGATTATTATGTATGCTATAGCCTCCTTATTGAAGAAAGTGTTTCTATTAGGCATATTATTTTTCCTCGGCAGCAGTGAAGGTGGGCGTAAGTAGTACATACATATTTGTACAATTTTTGCAATTGTTTTGTTCCAGCAAATAACTTGCACATTCATGATGGTGCAACAACAGCAGAAATTATAGCTGGTGATATTTTTTTTGAAATTATTGAACCTGTAGAGTTAGAGTATACTTACCGCATCAGACCTGCTAAAGATTTTGGAGCACCTTTTGTATGCTTATAGTATGAACTCTTGTTTCATTGGTTTCTTAATTTTATTACTTTTAGAATGAGTCATTTTATATAGAACATGTGCCACTTGTGCCTATTCAACCGAAATTTGGTTGTACAACTCCTAATAATATTGAAGATATTGAAGGAAATGTTGCTTTAATTGAAAGAGGGTAAGTTTATTTAATCATGGATATGGTTACAATAATTAAGTAATTTTATAAATATACAAAGGCTTAGAAAAAGATAACAGGTTTTAAAATTTTATTTCATTAATTTAAGGGGCGGTATATTAAGCCCAAAAATTTATTCCTTCAGCTTAGATAACTTTAATGTTGATTTGTTCCCACTTTCAATATTTTATCATTTTTATTAGATTAATTTTATTGTAGGGAATGTTCATTTAAAATGAAAGCCATAATTGCGGAAAAAGCAGGAGCCCAAGCAGTAATAATCACAGACGTTTCAAAACCAACTGAAGAATATTTTATTGAAATGATTGATGACGATTCAGCCGATGAAGTAAACATTCCGGCAGCATTTTTGATGGGTAAAAATGGAATTATGATAACAACAACTTTACAGCAATTAAAACGATCTTATGCAATTATTAATTTACCTGTAAATTTAACTTTTACACCTGTGCATGAGATGAATCAGCCACCATGGCTGGGTTGGTAATAGTGCCGATTGCCGCCTTTGTTTTTACTTGTAGCAATATTTTGTGATTGTTGTATAACATCTGAAGAAGTTATTGGTTCCTTTAATGCTGCGTTAGTTCTTCTTTTATATATATATATATATATATATATATATATAAATGTTCATTGAGGAGTTATTTAGTGTTAAGTTTTAGAAATTTTTTGCTGGCCCGCCATCTGTAATTAACATACATGCGTTTAGTTACGTTTATAATTTTACAAATGGCAACAGGGAAAAGAGGGGGATTTTAGAATAAGTTACGAAATTTGGACAAATAAAGTAGGATTTGACTTCAGCAAAAACTGAAAGTATATAGTTATTTTTACTTCACAAATATGTGGTTGACCAATTTGACTTTAAAAATTATTTTCCATACATACAAAAATCTGTTCAAAATCAAAATGTTACTTTACAATGTATGCACCATAACATATATACAACTATAATATTCCACATTTCATGGCGCCTTTACAGTTTCTGTGTTACATACAAGAATGGCTTTGAAAAATTGCAAATTATGTGAGAATTTCATTTTAGGGTCAACGAAAATGACCAATATTTTAATATATGTAATATCTTGGTCTTAAAGAACAAAGGTTTTTTTTTGATAAATTTTTATTTGTTGATAAAATCCTTCCACAAAAATAAATACTACAGTATATTTCTTCATTTTAAAGTATTATGTATTTCTGAAGGGTCAACCAAAAAACTGGCCATCGTACATAAATTGAAAAATGTGATTATAGCAAAAAATATATAATTGTTGTGTTATGGAAAATAGAAAAGGTAAAATATGTAAGAATTTTTTTCAGGAGAAACCAAATTCAGCACAATTAGGTATAAAGTTAAATTTATGACTATGATTTATACATCGTACAGGTTCAAGTTGTGATATGTCTAATTTACTGTAAAACGTACCTGAATTTTTGTACCGTACCTTTAAAAAAGTAATCCGCCATACTATTTCATTTGATTAATTTTATCCTATGGTTCTTCCTAATTCATTTGAGCAAAACTGTATTTTCTATGTTAACTTTTCAATGAACAAAATAAAGGAAACGATGTTGCGTGTTCCCTAAGAACGTAAAACATTTTAACATATAAAGGAAATTATACAGCACAATAAGATTAGTCCAGAATTCTACTTCATAAAACAACGAACTGATTAATAATTAAGAATAATATTGAAATTTCTGTGACTTAAGTAATTAATTTCAACTTAAAACTAACATGAAGTGTAATAAGTACTTCTTTGACCAATTTCTTAAACAAAACATGGCCTTTTAGTACATACCCATGTTTGTTAAATGTGTGTATTTACGGTACGGTTCAACAGATTTTCCCATTAGTTAAAAAAATTACGTGGAACTGACCAAAAGAGAATATTCTGTCGAACAGTACTAGGTGTTTTATTTTTTGCCATGAAACTTGCTCATCTCTAGTCACATTGTTGGCAATAAATTTTGTAAACGTTTACTGTTACTGTTGCTCTCGTTTGTAAGTAAAATAATTTATTCAATAAAGTGTATTCAAAGACTTGGAATACTTTTGTATTATTTCTATTGGCCATACAAGTGTACGAGTATATAAACAAAGCGTTACACCAAAGGTGGTCTACATCTTTAGTCACATAACTCGTGAATGATATGTCAAGGCTTTTTAACCAATATTCTTTTTTAGGATTGTTTAAATTTTTAAGAAAAATTATACATTTGTCTAAAATAATGACATAATCCTAAACATTTTACAATATTTTTCGAGAACCCCGAATGTTTAATTTATATATATTTTTACAAACAAGATATTTTCAAAATATTTTGTTAATAGTAAATGTTTCAATAACTTTCAACATGATGTAGTCGCAACGGATACCACAACTACTCCATAATTCGGTCAGGAAACTATAACGGCAATGAAAACAAACATGTTACTTGAAGGTGCACAGAATTATCGTGTACTCCTACATGTAATTAAATATCACAATAAACATACAAAATTTATTTAGTTTTAACAACTATTACTTTAATACTTATTTGTGTTAACTAGCTTTAGGAATATCTTTTGATGAGGTCTGGATTCTATCAACGAATTTTTGGTGTTCAATTTTTCCTAAGCTTTGTCCCATTTTCACGTGGTCTCCTGGTAAAACAGTAAATTGAAAACCAACTGGAGCTTCAAATACCAAAACTATAGTAGAACCCATCCTAAATTCTCCAAACGGGTCTCCTTTTTTCAACTCAACATTGTTACCTAAACAAAAATCTTTACATCGTCCAGTATTTTTAGGGTGATTGGTATGGAGATTTTTGTCACAATAAACTTTCACGGTTCCAACATTAGTAGCACCTGAAGATAAAATTGCAGTAGATTCGTTTATTGTAAAATACATTTGGGCTAACTTACCCACAGCAGCATATGAGAAAAATCCATACTTCCAGGTTCCCAAATAGACTGCGCGTTCGTTTAGACAGAATAACCCAGGCAACCATTTGGCTATTGTAGGTTTCACTGATAAAAGTTGGCCATGAAAATGTCGTCTGAGCGTGGGCTTCCATTCAGCGGGCGAATGAAATCTAATTAAAAAAATAACGTTTATTTCCGCAGAATATTTTCGATACGTTGTTCATATAAGGCATCAAGATTTTCAGCAACTGATAATAATAATAGCCTTACTAAACCCAATATACCGACATCTACAAAGGATTAATAATCTAAGAGTTGCAAACGAAACCAAATGGGAATTTTTTATAACTGACAATATACATATGTATTATTACCTATGAGAGAAATACATTCAACGAAATTGATTCTGATTTTAGCAAGTCAGAAATGTAGAAACAACTTAAACTAATGTGAAACATTAGTCAAACATACAGAATAGTCAGAATATAGTGCCATATAACTATAAAAAAACACTTATTAAACAAAGGACAATTTTGTGATCATTAAACATAAGCTATAAAAAATACTAAAATTTTAAATACTCTACAATTTTTCGCACACAACAGAAAAAAATTTCAAATAATGTAAAATAAGGCTAGATCTGCTACAATTGACGGCAAAAGTAACCAATAACAAATGAATGCCAACTAGGGACAACGCAGCAAATTCCTCATAATGTTTGCTGAAAATCTACAAAAATTTCAAATGTTATGCTGTCCCAGTTACTGCGAATATAAATAGTGAACGTGGAAAAGATAGTAATTTTTGCAGCAGGCACGATATCTTAAAAAGTTTACAAACATGCTTTTCTCAAACTTCAAATAGTAGAAAATATTTTTCGGCCAAATTTAGCTACTGATCACTATAGCAAAGAAACGATTAATGGTACATACATAAAGAATAACATCAACTTAACAAAAAGAAATGAATCCACTGAATATTAGTGAGATGCAAGTGTGGCGACCTATGTGTTTGGTAATCTTAAGCACATAAGCGAAACACAATGAATGCTAGACAACTCGTTGGAATATGCTGTACTGACGAGATCCAACAAGATCGAAACTGCAGTCTGCAGCTTTCCAACGGGTTGTCTAGCCTTCGGTGTGATAAACATTTTGCAATCCACTGAATGTTCTGGAGTCGTGACTAACTGAGCGATTTTAGACTACAATGAAAACAAAATGGGGAAGAGTAGTAAAAAGTGTAAAAAACAGAATGGAAAAATAGAACAATAAATTGCAGAACTAGTGATAGAGAACATCACTTACACTAGTAAAACATTAATATATGTATGTATGTATGTACATATATGCATACTAATTTTAGAACTGCATCAACTAAAAAATACAGTACTGTTTTATTGAAAACTTGATTTTGTCATTGTAAAAATTGTTCTGAAGAGAGCATGTAGATGCACAAGCCCAATCCATTCTTCAAAACATTACATTAGTAAACTACGATTTCGAGGTTTCTCAGTATTGGTTAACAACTATTACGGTCGATTAAGAAAAAAAAAACACGTTCCACTACATAAACGTTTTTCTACTTGTTATTAATGTTTGGGAAATGTGTAAAGTAACTCGAACTTTTTGAAAAACATGTTAAAGGTCATAAAATTCGACATTAAGTTATGCTTTTCTCCCAAAGAAATTCAATATACCACTTGCGCTCAAAACCTAGAAGGTTATTTGAAAAAAAAATCCTACAAATATATTAAAAAAATAATAAAATTATTGAAATTACACATATTTAAATGAGAAATTTTGGTTCACACCGGCAAGGCAAATGCGAAACTGGTGAATATAACACGTTTGGCTTGTATACACATCGCGTTAACTTGATAACCAACTAATAATAAACAGTTATAAAAATTTGTAAAAACTGTAGTTATCCTTTTTTCGATAGTGAAGTACTGTGAACGTTTGCTAGAAAAACAAATGAAGTTTGTAAAGTAACCCAATAGCTATGCTTGCTAGACGATCTTTAGAACTGTTTTCGAATTTCGAAATCTGGTGTCATTAGTACGAAATAAATGACAGACATATTTAAAGTGACTGTATGAACTTCATACCTATGGTAATCTCCTGGAGCTAAGTAAATAACACATTGGTAGAGAGTGTTTTCGCGGTGAGTGTGGTGAAGCAGGGAAACTCTATAATCATTTGAACCATTATTGTTGTTTAACCAAGTATTCGCACCCAAGAAATTTTCCAATGAATATGTTACGCCTTTCACCTAAAAAATAAAATTTCTAATTGTAGCGGTGGAATAACTGAGTACAATTTAAACAAATAAAGGTAAATAATTGTTAAGACTTTTACTATTTAAAATATGTCTTTTAATAACATATGGGTTAAAAGAAATGGTTAAAAAGAGAAAAGTAAACAAGAAGAAAAAAGTTTACCAACAATTCACTACGAACAAAGTACAGATTTAAGTATGTATTCCAAAATTTTATGTCTCTAGATTTTCTACATCTTTATGGTATCAAACATTTTTGGTAAGTTCTTGTTTCTGTGGGTTTGCCCATAGTAATTTACACCACATTAGACATATGGTATTTCACTCTGGTTTACATATTACATTTTCTCTTATATTATGAATTTATGACCTAGGAAACTATAAAATATGCGGGGTTTGTTTCATAAAAAAAAAAACAAGCAAATAAACTACTTTAAACTACCTTTAAACTATGTGGTAATATTTAGACGCGCGCGGTTTTTGAAACATTGTTGCGGAAGTTCAGCAGCCCTTAGCCCTTCCGTACGTGCACCCTCCAGTGGTACCAAAACCCTCCATGGACTCTCCGTTCCGTCGTGCTTGCGTTAATATTGTTTTAGACCATAATTATTTGCACTTATTTCGTAAAGTATTATTAATAATAAAATTTTGAATCTTTTTATGTAATTACGACATAAAACTCAGTTGTAACAATATTAGATTAACAAATCTGATTGTTAAAAATTTAAATAAGTTATTTATTTTTATTTTATTGTTTTTAAAATACGGAGTAACTGCATCACACGAAATTATAACTTTGAAAATAATTTCAAAGTTTTGTTTTGTTGTATTTGAGTAAACAAATCATAAATCATTTTTGTGTGCTGTATTGTTTTTGAAAACTTGTTTGAAATCCTATAACATTTTTGCGATTTCCTGTAGGACGCAAAGAATAATTTTGATTTTAATGGAGTTTAATCTAGTAAAAAATCCGAGTCCAAAAACGTGTAGAACCAGATGCTGTTTATTTTTTTAGGATTTGTTGCAGTACTAGTTGCAACTTGCAACCCATTAGTGCTAGTATCACGAAGAAAGAGACTACTTGTTCGAGAACCCCTTATTTCGACACAATTCACCGCTTATAGTAGGTAAAGAAGTTGTGCTGTGTTGAACGTTATCCTTTTTCTTCTATGCGTTCTTTCTTTCAACTAGCCCAATTCCGCAAACTTCGATTGAATGCAAGAGACTTTTTTACCCTCCTATTATCCAAGAAATACATAATAAAATTTCCACTAGATTGCATTTTAAAGAAATTACTATGTACTGTAACCTCATTTGATATACACCTGTTAAAACTTTTATGACTTAAGCGGCTTAAGCCAAAGCACTCTTATAAGTCAAACTGGCTATTGTAAGCTTTGTTGACCCGAACCGCAAGATTATTACTGCCCATTCTTGGCATAATGTAGCTGTGAACTGAGTTAAGTAATACAATAGCCAGTTTGACTTATAAGGGTGGTTTGGCTTAAGACGCTTAAGTCATAAAAGTTTTAACAGGTGTTTGTCAAATGAGGTTACTTTACTTACTTTGAAAGGCAGAAAAGTTGAAGCACCTGTACATTCCTTTACATCACATCAACATCAACCTATTAATAATCAAAATGGTTCTTTAGAAACTTTTGCGGTGTCCATTATAACACCAAAAAATGTCTTTTTTTTATCTAACGAAATCCCGTACAACAAAATGAGAAACGTCATTTATTTTATGAAAAATAATAATCAGAGTAATGTCTAATATGGCTGTTATAAAAACCGTAAAAAATGTCATCATGATTCCGTAAACAATCAATGGTACTCCAACGAATTCCTATATCACTAAAAACTCGTGCAATCAATCCAATTTATAAGACAAAAGGTCAGAACGATAATATGCATTGTTTTCGCCTCATATGTATCTATTAGAGTTCAAAATTCTATAGTTAGAATGTTGAATTATTTAAAGACAAAGAAGCTACTCCCACTCTATACATTCTCGTGAAGAGTGTCGGAATGCAATAGTGGTGGAGTCTTAAGTAGTGGGATAATAAGGCCTTAGCTTAGTAATCAGTTTGTTCATCCTTGGAGAAACATGGCGTCCTTTTGATCAAATTTTGATGTTGTGGGTTTGTTCAACTTGTGTATTTATATACATATATATTTTTTCCCTATTTACCATGATATCCGTAAGAAAAATCAAATGAACACATGAATTTTCCGCAATTATTTTTTAAATTATGATATTAAAAGCAATAATAATTCAAATTTCAACGCAATTGTAATTAATAGTTATTTATGTACCAAAGACGAAAAACTGTCTATTATAGTTGTGTCTGCAAATTGATAGCCGAGGTTAGCAAGCAGGCGAGACAATAGACAGTTTTTCGCCGCTGAGGTGCATATTACATTTTTTCGTCGACCTTTATGAAAGTAAGCACTCACCTCGTAAATAATTAATTTGACAACAGCAAATGACAGTCTATGATTATGTTTTTATTAAATCGTGGATTTACGAAAATGATCCAATCGCAAAATTTAGGATTTCGTGAAAACTACAAAACCGATTCCTTTGAAATTTTGTATGCTCATTATCAACACGGTAAATCGATAGCAGAATTCATCTGTTTCTTCCCTAAAAAAAATTCATCCCAAAATTTCGATAAGTAAATTTTGATTGTGGTTTAATAATGTATCTGTCCACATTTTTTAAATACGGAATGTTTCAAAAATAAGTGACCTTAATTAAATAAAAAATATATAGTGATTTCCACCGAAAAGTTTATGACACCATACATATAAATTACAATCGGTCCGGTAGTTTTGAAGATTATCTGCCTAATAAAAATCTGAATAGACGGTATACAGACTGAACCACGATACGTAATTTTTATACTCTATGGGCCATGAAATATCGAGAAAACAACGCCCTCCGATAGACTTACTACTTTGCTTACGCTCAGAAGGTAAAAATAAAATTCGCAAAATTAAATTTTATGATTTTTCGAACATTTTGTATGCTATAGAACGTTTATTCCCACAACACCCAAAACACACAAAATATTTGTCGACGTCATTTTATAAGATGTTCGCCTTCACTTTTGCATATTACCTATTTGACCTGTCACTATTACTATGAGTTTGAAGACGTCTTTCGATGTCTGTATATACTAATTACTACCCAACTTCCGTCGTAAATGTCGTCTGTGAAAAATACTAAGAGTATCTATTATCCCTTAATTGTGCAAAAAATGAAAAAGTTTATTTTCCAGATATCCAGTGTATTATTAATTTTTTATTATACACGATAAAGGAAAGAAGGTCACAGCGTGATTTTATTTCTTCTTATACCTTACAGATTCTTTAAAAAATAGCTTAATAACTTACAGTTAAGTTAAACTCTAAACTCAATATTTCAATAGATAATAATTTACAAAATGTTGAGATATTTTTGTAATAGTTTCAGACAGGTCATTCGATTGTAAATATTTTCATTTAGACTGAAACCAGACAGTCTACATTCATATAAACATCAGAATACACTGAACACGTTTATATAAAAAAATATGATGTCAACTAATCGTTGGAATGGTAAACAGCATAATATATAAACATGCTGATAACAGAATCATGAAGCAAAAAAAAACAGCAATTAAAGACAACATGCAAATTTCCAGATGAATTTAGTTTATGGCAGATTGATAATATGAGATTATATCGAAAAAGGACATACTTGTTCAACTTGATTGGTATGGACCGTGCCAAAGTGCAAAATTGTGCCATCACATGGTGAAACCAAGTCACTTGCGTGGTCGATTGCCCGAATTCCATTTTTCAATGGCCTGGCAAAGAAATCCGCCAGGCTTGGATAATACCTTAAATCCTCATGTAAAGCTTCCGACAATTTAACACCAAAAGTGTTAGCATACAAACCATATATAAAAGGTCGTAAAAACTCCGGAAGCTGGATGTCTGTAAAGTTAAAGAAGCAGTTTGTGTTTATTTAATAATAATCAATAATAACATATAACAACAAAATACCTGCAATCCATCCCCAACAACGCGATACTGTTCGCAAAGGTAACATGCAATAACAGTTGATTTCCCATTCATTGGCAAGACGTTCTGCTGATTTTTTTCGATACGAACGCCATTGCATGACAGCGATTAGACAAATTCCTACTGGAACGAATCTAGTGAAAATTCCCTTCCACTCAAATTGATCTACATATATAAAAAAAGTAAATATTAATTTTACCAGCAGTTTCAATAAATGATGATAATGACTAATGAAGTTCCAACATAATATGTGGAGTTTGCAGACCTTTAGAAATTACAAGTTCATTAATATAATGAATGGTCCATACAATTATTTCGATGAGATGTGGAAGCATGTTGTTAATGTGGCGTGTGTAGAACAAATGAATTATTTCTTAGTGTCTTTATCGTATTTATAAATTTCATAAAGGTTATCTTTTGACCTTCCTGTTTATTGGTTATTTCTAATGCTTACCAGAATTTCGCTCATTTTTTGATAAATCTCTTTTGGGAACTAAATTAACAGATTTTACATTTTTTCTTATGTGCCAGTTTGATGAATTAATCCAATTTTTGTATACACTAGTGCGTTGATAAAGTCTGAAAAGAAATAAACACATTATTATAAAAAATATCCCCGAGATATGTTTGATTTTAAATTTCCAGAAGAAGCAAGGTTAAAACATCATGTTTTTTTTTAAGACATTCGCAATAGAAATATTATTGTGAATGAAACATTTCAGTGAATGAACAGTTAAGAGATGTCTGTTTTTTGAAAATATTCTTTTTTAATTAAATGTTCAACAATGCAGTAACATATTTATAACAAAAACTGAAAGAAAGTAATTTTTGTAAATTTTTAGGCACTTGAATTTGCAAGTTTTTTTTTAATGTACTTTAGAGTGTTAAATTTTATGCCTAGTGTGATTTTTTGTGTATTTTCGAGTGTTTAGTTTTACGTCTACTTTTATTCCCAATCGTTTGACTTTATTATTAGAAATGGTCCATATTGACATATTCAGTTGTTAGGCCACTACACTTACTGAAATAGACGAATTATTTTATAACATGCGTCTATTTGAAATGGTAGACAGTAAGACTTTTCTTTCTATTTGTATAATTTAAATAAAAGTATACAATTCTTTTTGAGGAGTCTTATTTTTTTTGTTTTCTCACTCTAAGTGGTTTTAATCAATTTGAAATCTATTGCGAGAGTTAGAAGGCTATGAGTTAGTCTTAGTTTTACACCATCCGTCATTTAATCCTACTAAAACAGAAAACAGGACATTTTATAATGTTTGTACGACTATTAACCAAACAACCTGCAGTTTATTGAAACTAGCCGTTTCAGTTTTTTTTAATATGCAAGTTCTATCAGGTTATAGAGAAAAAAAAAAGAATAGCCAAATGCTTTTAATGTAATTTGGGGTTTTTCTTTTGTTAAGTTTGTGAAAATTGTTTCTTTTAATTTTTAAAAAGATCATTTGTACGACTATTCGTAAATAGTGGAAAAAAATTATGTGGTACAATGAAATTAATTTTTTTTGGCATAAAACGGTTACAACGTATTTTAAAATGTTTGTACGACACGGTTTGTCTTAAATATATGTGTTCATTCTCATTGCATTGCTTGAAACTACTGCCGCGGAATGTATGTCCATATTAATTTTATAAATAAAAACAGCGATAAAATTATTACGCACAAGCAGAGATTCAGCATATGTAGATAGATATAATTATTTTTCTTTAAATTTAGCGAAGTATATAAAATGAAGTGTCAGAAGTCGACATTAATTTATTTTTCTGATAAAGGTTATTTTAAGTATAGTTGACTGTACATATTGTACAATCTGCACAAAAAATATGCAATAACTTTAATTCAAAATTCGAAATGAAAATTAATTAGTGGTAGATGTTGATTGCATATTGTTTTAAAAAATTGGTCTAAAGAGTTTAGACAGTACTTCCCTCGCTGTCGGAAACTTGACGACTGCATGCCTATTGTATTTTTTTCTCATTACATTTTTGTAGTGGGAATTTAAAAAAAATTGCGATGACGTCATCAACATTTTTGCAAGGACACGTATATCAGTTGGGATAGATGTAGTGTAATACTAAGAATAAAATTATTGTATTCCCAAATTTTCGGGAAAATGAATTGGGTCGTTTTGAATATTGATTTGTTATAATCAATAAAATAACGAAACAATTTACTCACGTATACGGCGCCGGTGTGTAATATGTAGAGAGCGGATTTCTGTCGGGCTAGGCAAGGCCAAACTCGGTACGGCTCGTACGGGATGCGAATTCATTGCGGTTACGGACTGCACTTCGTTTATTTGAGATTAGAATAACGCTGTTTCGTTGCACTCTGCTGTTAATTCCCGTTCTCATTTACTTAGCCGTTTGATTAATAAATCGTTAATTATATTTCTGGAATTAGTACCGATTAAATTCAGTGATTATCTATCACCCGCTATTGAGTCCCGGCGATCCAGCGCGTCCCCACCTATAGTCGTGACGTAGCCCGACAGAAATCCGCCGTCTAGTAATATGAGAGGCAACTGAAAATCGTTTATGTATAAACATTCTTAATTTAAGATGACAAGCGTAACAGCATACGTGACTGCCCATTCACAATGGACATAAGACATAAGAACGAGCGCATAACAGAATTTACGTTTTTGGTTTGTGTCTGGCTTATGCTTATATCTACGTTCACAGTGGACAGAGTGAACTCTGTAAGAATTGTTAAACTGCGCAAACGCAGAACGGAATAACTCCCGGCTAAACATAGAAACGGCTAACCTCAAACTGAGTCAATCAAAATATCTAACCTACAATTTCATACGATATTCGAACTTGACAACTCGCAGTACAGAACAGACTCGCAGTGTGAAGCTTTGATTATAATTTATATAATATAATCAAAGGTGTGAAGTGCCAAGTGCCAACTGTCAAAGGGAATTCAATAGCAGCATTCAAAAGTCCCTAGATTTTAACATAATTTTGACATAATTCGTGCACAAAGTTGAACTTATTTCAACTTTGTGTACGCACATAAGGATTACATAAAACGTTCATAAGCATAAGAATTACGTTCGTCCACTGTGAACAGGGGTACACGTTTTCCATCGTTTCAACTTTATGTATTTATGTAAGCTTTATGTGCTTGTTATGCCTTATGTCCATTGTGAATGGGCAGTAAGAGTCAAACAGAGAAACTGTAAACAAAACGACCATCGGTTTTATTGCTTCGACTTCCGCTTATTATATAAAACATTGAGTTTTATTTTAATTTTTGACGGTGGAATTCACAATTGGTTGATTATAAACATGTCTATTTCACATTCGCGGAACCTAGACAGCGCACACGTCTGTAATCTTAAAGTCGATGTAAATAAGCGTGCTACCCTTATGTTTCAACCGAGTTTTTACTTTAAAAAATTTTGTGTCTACCAAATTGGGTTGCTCCAATGTAATACTAATAATAAGTGTTGCCTTTAATTTAATCAATAAAATAAATTGACTTCATTAATTTTTTTGAGCCACCTCATAAGAAAATCTAAAAAATATGAATGAAGTGATAAATCACAAGTACAGACTCATCATATTTTTACGCTTTAGATAGGATTTATTCGGCAAACTTTCGAGCTGACGTCATCAAATTTTTTGAGGGGGGATTAGCAAATACATTTTGATAAAAATTGGTCTAAAGAGTTTAGACAGTACTTCCCTCGCTGTCGGAAACTTGACGACTGCATGCCTATTATGTTTTTTTTTCTCATTACATTTTTGTAGTGGGAATTTAAAAAAAAATTGTGATGACGTCATCAACATTTTTGCAAGGACACGTATATCAGTTGGGATAGATGTAGTGTAATACTAAGAATAAAATTATTGTGTTCCCAAATTTTCGGGAAAATGAATTGGGTCGTTTTGAATATTGATTTCTTATAATCAATAAAATAACGAAACAATTTACTCACGCATACGGCGCCGGTGTGTAATATCTAGAGAGCGGATTTCTGTCGGGCTAGGCAAGGCCAAACTCGGTACGGCTCGCACGGGATGCGAATTCATTGCCGTTGCGGACTGCACTTCGTTTATTTGAGATTAGAATAACGTTGTTTCGTTGCACTCTGCTGTTAATTCCCGTTCTCATTTACTTAGCCGTTTGATTAATAAATCGTTAATTATATTTATGGAATCCAGCACGTCCCCCCCCCCCTATAATCGTGACGTAGCCCGACAGAAATCCGCTGTCTAATAATATGAGGGGCAACTGAAAATCGTTTATGTATAAACATTCTTAATTTAAGATGACAAGCGTAACAGCATACGTGAGAGTCAAACAGAGAAACTGTAAACAAAACGACCATCGGTTTTATTGCTTCGACTTCCGCTTATTATATAAAACATTGGGTTTTATTTTAATTCTTGACGGTGAAATTCACAATTGGTTGATTATGCCACACGATTTTTAACCAAAAGGTCGAATCCGATTCAGGGCCAGCTGGTGGCAATTGGTGCCGGCTATTGTTACGCTCAGGGGCCGAGGGTTGATTAGGTTTGGCCTGAATCAGGGGAAAACGATACGTAACTTAATCTCTAATTGGGCGCCAAGGTCCTCCGGCAAAACGGTGGTGGGAAGTGCTTGGACCTAAAGCACTTCTCGAGCCGACCTGAACTATCGGGTTAAAAAAAAAGAAATGTGGGTGTGAGTTGTATATTGAGAAAAAGGGGAAAAAAAAATCAATTAATTATAATTAAGTAAATAGTAAACGCCAGCACAGCAGCGTCTGACATGCTTTGTGTTGCCAATCTTACCATCCCAGTTTCACCCCCCGTGGCTGCTGGTAGATCTGATGGAGGGCTCCTCATCCTCATCAAAGCGCAAAAAAGTCGAAAGTAAACCTGTCTATTCAGACCAAGAATTAGTTGGATTAAATTTAATGGATGATGTAACATCTTTGGACACTTCCGGAGGCTCAAATGAAAGTGGACAGGATCCTGACTTGGTTTTTGAAGTTCTTCGTTGGACATCGACTTTTGTGGACAAGTCTATGTTTATTAAATGCGTTATGGAGGATAAGGCACATAGAATACTTCTCACTGCGCCGCCCAGATTTGGCAAGACTATGGCTTGCAATATGCTGGAGAAGTTTTTTTGAAATTGTCAGCAGTGAACAAAAGTCGGAGAAATATAAACTTTTCCAGGATCTCAGAATTTGCAAATGCATAGAGAATCATGATTGTGAAAGTAAAAGATTTTTTCGCAAGCATTGCGGACAGCATCCAGTAATTTTGCTTGATTTTGCACAATTATCAGTACAGTCATATAGCGAATTTTTGATGAGCCTTAGAAGGATGATAGGGCAGGAGTTTAAAAAATTTAAAATATATTTAATCCGTAAAGACGGTGAAACATATAGCTGGTTAAGCAACAACATGGAAGAACTGGATCATACCGATTTTTTGGACTATTTGAAACCAGCAGATAAAGATGATCGTTGGATAAAAGCAAAAGATCGTAACGAAGCAGAAAACTACATAATGGTGGCTTTTCAATATTTGATCGAGGTTTTGTCGGTCCACTA